AGGTTTAGTGTATTACTATCTCACAATCTTAATTTTTAGCACTTAGTAGTCATTCTACTTCTCAAGCACTAGAGTAGAAGTTTCAAGTGGTGCATTTCTAACCAAAGATTCATTCATTCAGAGGTGGACTTTTCCTTGAGATATTGCAGTGGATTTTGAGCACCTCCCCCCACAAATAAAAGAAATAGAAGCATGCCAACTTAAGATAGTATGACTTCTTAATTTTTACAAAAGGAGAAATAACAGAATTTCCATAATTCAGCCTAAAATTGAGGCTATTAAATATAGTGAGAAGAATTTTTCTTGCTTACAAGAAAAAGAGACAAAATGTCTTTCTCTGTCCGTCAAGTGCAAAGGATCTGAGAAAAACAGATTTACAAGCCAGTGGAAGGAGTGCTTGGCCCCTGGCTGCAACTCTTGCTGTGGGTGAAGGAAAGAACCTGGCACTCTGTGTGCACATCGGTGCATGAAGCAGTGGGGACAGAGAGAAACAGGAAGTAATAGAGAAGAAAGACATTCTCAGAAAATGTTCCATCTGAGAGGTAGTTTGCTTTAAGCTATAAATCTCCTGGGTGCTTTATGTGTTGGTACTTGTTTTCAGAAGTCTGGGAGAGAAGGAAAATATTTCATTTCCATCTGCCCCCTCTCAGTACTTTATGGACTTTTAAGCAGGCTTCTCCCAGAGTTAAATTCCTGGTTCAGCCACCCCAGGGTCTTGCCCAGGAAGTTCAGGGTGAAGGTGTCTATATTCTTCTCAATTCCTACTTTACACTGGGTCATGACAGGTATCTTGGGTTTATTATCACCCAGTCGGGAGTTAAAGTAGCAACACTTCCATCACTTTGCTGTCGATTAGTTCAGTGGTTACAGCAGGCTACTGGGGAGGCTCGGCAAGGGTCCTGGGGTTGAAGCTGGTGTGCCAGGTGACAGGCAGTGTAGGTGACAGCATGGGACATACTGCAGTTAAGGGTTTACCTCTGGTGTCAGAGAGGCCTGTCGGGCTAGTCATTACTATGGCCCCGGTGCATGTTACTTAGTCTTTCTCGACATGCTCATTTATAGAATGGGTATAGTAAACCTGGCTCAACCTCGTGAGGCTGAGGGAGCGTGAAATAAGTGAAGAACCTAGGTCAGCGCTGTGATGTGCGTTACGTGCTCAGTGACAGCAGATGGTCACAGTAGTTGTCATTTGCGTTACCTCCATTTAAAGAAAAAGAAGCATTGAGTAAGAGTTTTAAATGATTTGCTTATAAAATTACAGAGCTCATGTGTGACACAGCAGGGTCTCAGTGCAGACCTGTTTAACCCCCGAACCACCATGCATCTAATATTGAAGAGAAACTCTATTGCTTCAGTCATTGCTCTCGGTGCGCCCATTGTTCCTCCTTATTTAAAACTTGATTTTGTCCTTATATTCAAACTGTTTATATATAATACATTCTTGAAATATTTTAGAACATCAAAAATAGTCCTTCCAGCTCCTATAAATCAATTCTCTCCTAAAGTTTATTTATAAATCGGTTGTTTGAAACTCAGAATGGATATCCCCTTAGGAACTGCTGGTTATGTTCTCAGGCGAGTTCATAAAAGCCTCTCTAGCCTTTTCTATTCCTCTCTGTCCAGCACTTGATATTTTAATCCTGTGATTTTCAAATAGACACTCCCATCAGAATGGCCTGAGAAGCTTTATAAAAATAAAGGATCACACAGTCAGATGTTTTGAATTGGAACCTTGAGGTGAATGCTCCGGGTCCATCCCAGCAGGAGCAAAGTGCGCGCAGGAGCCACGAGGCAGGCAGAGCACGCGTGGCGTGTTAGAGCATCCGGGAGAGGGCTGTGTCGTGGAGTGGGGATGGGTGGTCTCTTTTCACCTCTGTTACATGCTGTTTGTTTTAAAATAAATGATGGTTGTGTACTTTAATAAAATTTGCACAAATAGAGACATTTTAAAGAGGTGAGGTAAAGAAGAGCTAGAAAGTCTAACTGTGCCCCTGTTTGGCTCCCTTCCTGCACCTCCTGGGATGGGCGAGCCCCCTGTTGCCAGACAGGCATGAGAGCAAATGGGGCGCGGGCCTGCAGAGCCGGCTGGGCTCTGTTAGGCAGTTCTCCCTCTACCCAAAGCGCAGCGGGAGGCGACGGAAAGTTTAGGAAGGGGAATGACACCACATTGGCACTCTGACAAATATTTGGCTGAATGGAGCCAAACAGGAGGTGCTGGACAGGCAGAGGATGGGCAGGTGGGGAGCAGGACCCCTACATGAAGTGAGCATTTAGGAGAATTGGTGTTTCTGCTTAACGTCCTCTACAAGTGCACACTTGCACTGTAGTTCTGTAACTTAAGGAGAGAGATGACGCTTGTCCTGCTCCTGAGATAATAGGCTGTTTCCATTGTAGTAATTCTTGATGTCTTTGTGTTCTTTGAATTAAAACTACAGTCCCTACAATAAAACCGATTTTGTCCTGGAATATAGTTTTAGAAACTGGAACCACCCATTTCCTGTAGGTCGTACCTCACAGGCGCGTCCTGTGGGCTTCCTGCCCCTTCCTCCTCTGCTCTTCTCTTGCCTGCTCTCACTTCATGCCAGTCGCAGGTGGGTGCTCAGTGTCACGCTGCAGCTCAAGGTAAACAAGCTTGGAAGGTTTCCTAGCAGCAGATTGTTCTGGGAACTTGCTCTGTTTCCCTGAGCAAGCTGAAGCCAGACATCCTAGAATCTCAGCCAGATGGGAAAGGATTAGCTTATGGAGGGCATTCAATGCATTTTTTAAATTTCACTTGGAAATGAACCTCTTAACACAAATAGCAAGGTTGACTTTTAAAAGGACACTCTTTTACTTTTAAAACACATCTCAGTAATAGTTTGAATATTAAAAAATGTGGTTTCAGAAGAAATTCTCTATGATCAACCATGCCATATGTAATTGAGTCATTGGTGAGTGGATCCATTTGGAACCACATAGAAAATACTTCCGCTTGGGCCTGGTGTTAAGCTTGGTACCCGCTGGCGCCAACATTCAGTTTCAAAAATACTGAAATATTGCGATCCGCGGGTAAACCGCTGCTGGGGTGCTCCTCCTCTCCTGCCCCTGGGGATGCTCATGAAATACCCGTCCCTGCTCGAGGCCCTCAGGCTTCTTCCCCCTTTTCCTTCGGTGCTAGTGATTGCCACTTCCTCTTGAGTCTCCTTTTTTCCCAGTGTGTGATTTATACATACAGAGAAGAGAAAATGAGAAGAAATGGAGGCCCTTGTCAAGGTCAGGAAAAATACTGTTGTCTTATCACATGATCGCATAGAGCCTCCCCGTTCATCTGATGATCTGGAGGCGGCGTGGCTGGCAGGTGGTGCTTCTTTTCTGTTGTGCCGGAGTCAGTCACAGTGCCAGCTGGAGTTCTCTGGAGGTGGCGTAACAAAGGGTTAGCGTTACTCAGGACAGTCAGCAGTTAGCGTTACTGCAACTGAGGTTTTGCAATTTGGTTACACCCTGTCATGTTGTGGTTGAGTGGCTTACACTGTCTGCCAGGTTCGGTCTGAGTGTGGGAAGCTTCCCAGTTGGGGTAAGAACAGATCGCTCCACTCTTCACAGTGCTTCTGGGGAGGAAGAACACAGTGACTCCATACCATGGTTGACTTTGCTTATTTTTTTTTTTTTAAACAAATTCTCTGGCCAGATTCCAGGGAATTAAACCATCCTCATCCCAGAAAACTGCATTATCATTTTATATCCATTCTGGGTGCTGTGCATTTTCTCTCTCTCTCTCTACCTCGTGCGCGTGCGCACACACGCATACATACGTACACATGTTTTATAAATACCGTGTTTTGAACTTGACAAGCAGCAATCTGCTGAGAGCCTCGTTGGGGCCGCTGTGGTAGACATCGAGACAGACACCAAGAGGCATCGACACATCACCCTAGCCCTCACCAGACCCCCAAGGATTCAGCAGAATAACACGTTTGTAATCTTTAAAAAAATTAGATAAACTGTTTCTCTTCGTTTTAAGTCACTTCCTTTAGGATCTAAACATTAAGATTTGATTTCTAAAGAGATTATACCATTTTCATTATCCAAGGAAAGCCTAGAGGTAGATTTAGTCTGTCTGGTGGAACATAATGGATTATAATACATTAATTTTGAGGGAATAACATTAAAGACAACTAAAATTACCATGAACCAGGCATTATTTTAGATGCTTTACCTACGTCATTTGATTCCCCCGGCGGCCACTCTGAACTCGAGTTCTCTGCTGTCATTCCCCAGGTGCAGCAGGCGTCCACGCCCTGTCTCTCCCATACCAGAGATAAATAAGCATTTGTTTATTTTTAAATCCTAAGGTTCTGTAAGGTTCTAGTCTTTTTTCAGAAAAGATAGACTACTGTCTTTTAAAGATGACATAATTCTAGCAACAAATAGATGAGCTGTTTAGATGATTTTTCCGTTACCTCATTCAGCACAGTGATTCCATATTTTTTTGAGCTTTCGATGACAAACTTTAGAATCTTCTTTCTGTCTGGTAAATTACCTTTTTTTCAAAAAAGGCAATGAGTGGATTTTATGTAAGGGACGGTAGTTAACAAAATTAATAGTGCTGTTAAATACATTAATAAGAAAAAGGTATGGCATATCAACAATACTGAAGAACAGAAATGGACCAACTACAGCCCATTTTTGTAAAAAAAAAAGAAAAAGAAAAAGAAAAGAAAGAAAAGAACACAGCCAGACTCATCGTTCAGGTGTCCCCTTTGGCAGCTTTTGTGCAGTGACAGCAGAGTGGAGGGGGCATGGCCTCGACAGCAGGACCCAACAGCCAACAGTCAACATGTGGACTTTCAGAGAGACAGAGAGTTTGCAGTCGACCCCGACTCTGGAATCTAGATTGTTCTCCCCTGACTTCAAGTTGGGCGAGTGCCAATAGAATGCCAGAGGCTTGGTGGGGAAGCGCCTCAGGAAATGGTTTCCTAAAGCATCTCCTCGTCTAACATGCTTTCCCTCTAACCCTGCAGGTGCCGACCAAGAAGCTGAAGAAATATGAGAAGGAGTACCAGACGATGCGCGAGAGCCAGCTGCAGCAGGGGGACCCGATGGACAGGTACAAGGTACGGCGGTCGTGGGCGCCTGCCGGAGCCCAGTGCCCCCCTCGGCCCTAATGCAGCACTGGTGGCAAGTTCAAGTCCCTCTGTTCCTTCCCGAGCGACTTAGACACTGTCTGAACATTGTAGTGGATAAATGTCCAGGTGTGTGTTCATTTCAGAAGACTGCCTGAGTAGCCCACCATAATATTTCTTTTCTTTCAGTTTGTATATTTGTAGGTAACGCCACCTGTTGCATTTATACTGGGGATCTTCCTAAGAAGCTGAGAGAAAGAGAGGGAAAAGAAAGAGAGAAAGTGGCTCTCGACTACTTTCAAAAATGAGAAAAAAAGAAAAATGGCAAAGTACTGTTTTAGCTGTGCACGGTCGCAGCCACAAAGACTCTTAGAAGGTGATCTGTTCCAAGACTGGCACAAGAATGTTTCAGACTTACCTATGTCTATAGCAAATGTCAAGAGTACAAACTGATTTGGAAGGACAAATAAAAACCACAGAGGTTGTATTGAGCACAGTAATGGTGTTTGTCGTAACATTTATTTCCACAGACAAGTTTCTGAGTGACAGTGACGTTTCACTACAGTGTTCAGTTTCAGAATCAAAATGATTTCACCTTAACATTTCAGTTAAATAACTAATAGTATTTTTTGTTTAATTGGGCTATTCACAAAGATAGATCTCTTCGGTGGTAATTAGCAACCCTGTGCCCATGATGCAATGACTGAATTTGAACTTATTCTTTCAACCTGAAATATTATTATTTCTCTTTAACATGTTTCAATTCTGATTCCTACAGATGTGCGGTTTCCTCTCTCTTCACGTCAGTACATTAGGATAAGAGAATATTGTATTTGCACAGTGAGCAATATTATAATGTCCTGCCAAAAAGAAAAAGAAAAACAACACTGGGGTGGCGTTTCGAATGAAGGCGCCCTGGCGGCATGGCCCCCGCCTCGGAACTAGAGCTGCCCGCGTGCGCTCGGAGAGCTGGCCCTGGCAGCGGCGGCCACAAGACAAGAGACGTCTTGTCTCTGCTGCTGCAGTGAATGGCGTCGGGTGGTTCAGAGGGGCCATGGTGGAAGCAGTGTATTGATTTTGTAGTCAGACCTGAGTTTCAAATCCTGCCTTTCCAAAAAAAAAAAAAAAAAAGGCCAGGGTTTAGAATCCAAGTTGGAGTTTTTAATCCCTATGCCATTGTTCATTGTCTTGGACTAACTATTGAACCTCTTTCCCAAGTGCAAAACATATAGTATACACATTCTTTTGGAGGATTGTTACAAAGTTGAGGGATGGTGTATGTTACGTACCTCGCACATGGTTGGTATGCAGTAAATGGCTGTTTTAGCCTTATTAGAGACCTACTGCCTCAACTTACCCAATGTTACTAGAATAGCATCACCTTATGTGTGTCCGTCTCTGGCTGATCTTCCTCATAGTTCTTCCAGGTGTTGCTACCCAACAACCTAGGGTCAGCATGTTTTCCCCTTGCTTATAGAATGGGCTGCACCCGGTAGTAAAGGCCCACGTACTCTCTCTGGTAGGCGACTGTAACACAGACGGCGCTCGTGGAGCAAGCGTGAGGCCAGTCTACCGCTCAGCACAGCCAGTTTCAGCGCAGCTCCGAGCTCGCTTCTCCAGAAAGGCTTGAGGTTTAATTAGGAGAGGCCTTGGAGGATCCAGCATGGAGCTCTCCTACCGCTTGCATCATTCTGGTTTGCTTATTGTTGCCATCGTTATAAATAAAATCTGGGAAGAGTGCTTTAAAATAGAAGAAAGGGAAATTGAGGACTGAAATTATATATTTAAAATCTGTCTGAGACTGAACTTGTTTCTTAAATTCTTTTTGTGTCCAAAGAGATATGTATAAATTAATAGCATAATGCATATTATTTTTAAAAATGCTTACCACATATAAGACTATCGATGTGTACAATTTTTATTGAGGGATCAAAGTAGAATGAAATCTTTTGTTTTGTTTTGAAAACAGTTATCCCTTTCCGGCTTGAGCACTGTGTCCTCGTCTATGTGCACATCAGGCTCCTTCTGTGACTGTTCCTTCTGTATTATTGGAATATCTGGTCAATACACGACCTGTCCAATATCTTTAGACCCTTTAATACTGTCTAGGCATTTGAACAGAGATAGGCATGATTGGTCAAATGATAGTCCTAATATTATATTTTCAAGGTGACAGTTGACTGTAGTTTTCAGTCATCCACAGATTCATTGTTTCCCATGTTCAATTTCTAGCTTAAGAAGCTAATTATAATTATCTTAATTATACTAGGATAGTCTTAGGAAATACCTTTTAGCATCTTCTAAATTGACTCCTTTCAAGGATACGATCTAGGCCCTGGGAATTTTGCAATTCATAGATCTTGACCTGGGAACCTATTATGTAAATTCTTAAGAATGACTTGGGAAGATTTTTGAGGCTTTGAGTAAAAACTTACAGCAGTTCACTAACAACCCCTTCTTTGCCATTAGGATGCATACTGCTTACAATGCCATGTTTTCCTCTAGCTTGCTGCATGGAAGGCTGTGTCAATTAAAAAAAAAAAAGTCCCAGAAACATCATGCAGTAAGATACTGGAAGAGAGTTTTCGGTTTCAAGCGATTCCTCTTGAGTGTGGTGGGGGACAAAAAGGCCCTTGCAGGCCGGAGGTGGGGGGACAGGCCGCGCAGGGCAGAGGGCTCTCTGCAGCCACGTCTTGCCGTTTCACGCTGCGCACAAACATGCGATGTGGGTTTGTTTTGATGGCACACACAAGCGTCTGTACCCCCAGGTTATGCCGCTGACTCTCCTGTAGCTGACACTTCAGTCTCAGCCGCAGAGAGAAGCAGCGGGGCTGGGGTAAGCTTGCATTTTAGAACCGCACACGCAGTGAGGGTGTCTGGGAACCAGAGAGGGTGAGGCGGCTCAGCTGTGTGAGTGCGCTGGCACCCTGAGGAGTGCGCTATGAAAGATGAGTCATATTGGGTTTTATGAGTTTTATGTGAATCCTGTCTCAAAAAATGCGAGCCAGATGTTCCAGGAGGATCGGCGTCTGGCCTGTCACCTTCCTTCCATAACCCAAGTCGCACAGAGGAGCCGGTGCAGAAGCCACCCTCCTGGGAGGGAGGCCATCCTGTTGGAGCAGAGCTGACTGATGACTGTAGGTCCTGTGTCCCCGAATTGATAGGGGAAAGGGCCACCTAAGTGGGTGGCACGTTCATTTTCACGTGCATGCATGTGTATATATAAAAACATATACACATGAAAATGAATATATCTAGTCCGTATTTCTATTATATATATTCATTTTCATGCATTTGGTATCTAACACATGTATACATGCCCAGAGACATAAGCATGTGTCATAGCTAACACACGCACGCACAGTGCCTGGGCCACCTGGTCTTGGCACCAGCTGTGTTTGAAGCTCTGCGCGCTCCATTATGACTGCCTTCCGCCTTTGGTGTACTTTTTCTGTTTATCTTCGTGACAAGATTTCAAGACAGAAAAAGGAAACTTTAGTGGAAGAATATAGCGTATATATTCTATGTCTCTTCTATTGTCCTTAAGTTTGGCCTGGCCTCTGCCCATTTCAAAAATTAAAATATTTTCTATTTTAAGGAAATGAATTGTTCCCGTTTCAATTGGCAGCACTTGTTAGAGAATCGCAGCCCTCACCTACTCCAGAAGATGCTATGCTTTTCTTGTTTAATCAAAGAACCACTTGCACAAATGTGGATTAAGCCTTAAAAAGCATAGCTAATTAATTGAATTCAGTGAATCTCCCAGGGCAGGAACAAGGTTATGTTATTACCTCTTCTAGATGGGCAAATCCTAGAATCAGGAATGCTGTACTCTCTTGGGTTTGGGACACGGATATCATTATAAACACACAATTTCTAATTGAAATATCCATGTCCAGTATAATTAAATTTTGAATTTTAACTTCTTTATTGGGGTTAGACATAATTTTTAAGTCAAAATGTAATTCAAACAGAAAGAAAGTGATTCCTCTAAGTTTAAAAGTTTTCTTGCACATGCTAATTTTTGAAGAGCAGTTGTTCCTGCATGCAATTTAAAATTAAGCTATTCAATCACACATGGTTAAAACAATGCAAACAAAAGATCCGAAGTAAAGCTGAATTGTACTTGCGTTATTCGCCATCCCCACGTCTCGTGATGTAATTTAGTGCAATATCACATTTTGTTTTTTAACTTGACTAGTGAAGAATTTAATTATGCTAACCTTCTTACCTGGGGGGGGAAAAAAGCTCCCCTTTTCTTACTGTGTTGGGCCCTTCCTCATTCAAAGAAGTCAAGATACGTGAATCCATGCTTGAAAAATGTTTTTCTACAAGCGAAAAGAAAGTTATATTTTATTATTTTTCTATATCACAGAATCTGTGGTTGGCTTTTGGAAATATTTGTTGTGAAATAATGCGCTTTTCATGAATAGTAACAATGAAGAGGGTGGTTTCTATGACACTGAAAGCTTAATCATGAACTGCAGGCGACGGCCACTCCGTCCTTCGGTGCTTGGATGACCAGGGAACTGGCCGCTGTGGCACTAGGATGGAGGAGAGGGCGAGCCCGCGGCCTCCCGAGGCTTCCTGGGCAGCTTAGCGCAGAGGGGCGGGTGGCGCCTGATGGTGCTTGTCTGCTGGGTGAGTGCTTCTTTACTCTGGGGGAGCTGTAAGTGGTATGCGAAGTAAGAATTCCTCAGTATGTTCACTGATGATCTTCAGAATGCATCCTCCAAAAATTTTCTTCACTTTTTAGTAAGTCTTATTTCCTATTGAAGTTGTATTACTGAGAAAGTTATGTCACACTCATGTGCTCCTACGTCCTCTGTAGCCCGTTGGCTTTTTTAAAATTTGATTTGTGTGATAGGGTAGAGCAGGGATTTGCAAACTATGGCCTGTGGGCCAAATCTGGCCCACTGCCTATTTTTGTAAATAAAGTTCTGTTGGAACACAGCCACATCCATTTGTTGAGTTATTGCTTGCTTTTGTATGCAATGACAGAATTGAGTGGTCTCAAAGACAGTATGGCCTGCAAAACCAAAAAAACTTACTATTTGGTCATCTACATTGAAAGTTTGCTCTCTCCCCCTGTGCTCTAATCTAAGGGTTTGTTTAAAAAAAAAAGAGAGAGATTATTTATTTATTTTTAGAGAGAAAGGAAGGGAGAGAGAGAGGGAAGCATCCATGCGTGGTTGCCTCTTGTGTGTCCCCTACTGGGGACCTGGCCCACAACCCAGGCATATGCCCTGACTGGGAATTGAACCGGCGACCCTTTGGTTCACAGGCCGGCACTCAATCCACTAAACCACACCAGCCAGGACTATTTTTTTTAAGTGCCAAATGAAATGTGTCTGGTTTGCCAACAGCTAGGTTCTTATTACTGACAAGATCTTGTTTTTAGTTTGATATCTAAAATTTTTAAACCCCCACTAGCTAGGTAAAATTGGATATGTTGGGCAAAAGAGGAACATAAAATGATTTTAAATATCCAGGTTTTCTTTCTCACATCTTCATTTACAGACAATGTAGACATTTCAGCATTTCATCTGTAAACATTTGTCTTTGCATGTCAAAAAACCTGATGAAATTTGAAGGTGACGATTATCAACTCTCTTGAAAGAACTATCCAAAACAAAATAAGTGAGAGCTGAGTGTGCTGTTGGTAATGAAATCGCACTGGATCTCTTAGGAAAACATTTTCTCCTGACCCTTAAATGTCTTCAAAAACATGTGCCAAGAATTCATACAGCAGCGGACACACGCCCAAAACACTGAGCTGGAGTTCACGAAGCCTCCTTCCCCGTCATTTTTTCCTGTAAGGCTCAGTTGATTTTCTTTTGATTGCCAGCACACATTTTTCTGTTTTTTCATCTTGGAAAAAATGACGTTCACCCCCCCCTGAACCGGTTCACTGCGACTTCAGCCCTCAGGCTCGGAGGCTGCCCGGGGCCGTTTCTCCCACGCCTTCGCCTGCCGAGCAATGTCATTCTGTTGCCCAAAGATGACGAACTGTTTTGCGAGGTTTCCAACCTTGTCGCATAAGGAAGTTCCTTGCACGCAGCTCTGATAGCACAGCATAAACAAGTCGCACTGTAGTCGCTCACAGCCCCAGTTTTCATCAGGCACGCGGGCTGCAAGGAGCCCCTGGAGGGGGAGGAGTTGAGTGAGTCGCCTCCCTGAGTTGAGACTTGCCCTGTAGCTGCCTCCAGTGTACTTTCTTCCACTGAATGCTGGCGTCCCAGCGAGAACTTAGAGCGTGTGACACTCGAAGGGAAAACCAAAGAGCGTGGACAAGTGTTCTTGTTACTGCCATTTCCTAAATGTATCAGTAGGTGTGCAATTTCATTGGATGTTCTTTTTTTTCCCCCCCCAATTTTCTTTGTACCTATGATTGAAAACGGTAGTTGGTCTATGACTTTTGAGGAGGTAAGTTTGTTTTGGTTTTTTTTTAATCTATGTATGTCTGTGGTAGCAGCGTCTGTCTCTCTGAAAAATGCAGTATCCTCCTCCCAAAAGTTACTAACCACGCTCTTCTAGCTGAACCTCCTGTGCGGGAGGGGAGGGCGACTGAGAAAAGCTGTCCCCGGCTTTTTGTCCAGTTGCCTGAGGTGGGGCACATTCCAGACAGTTCCAGGCAGTTCCAGACCGTTCTCGACAGTGCAGGTGCGTCTGAGGCTGATGGAAGCAGGGTCTCCGGCAGTCCCTGCCGAAAGGCCGGGGAAGCCACGGGCCTGTTCCGTCCACAGGCTCTGAGCCTGCAGCACGCCTGCTGCTCGTGCTAGCGTGTGACATGTGACTGTCCGGCAGACTGAGGGGCACAGGGCTGAGTTTAGGGCCCTCTCGGGCGGGCGGCCCCAGCTAACATTTCCAATGAGCCAAGCAAGGTAACGACCTTTCCCTAGCCCGTCAAGACGAAACTTTCCTCTCCATTCTGGTGTGAAAGCAAACTTTTTCTTGAGGCAGTCAGTCTGAAGAGAGTTTTGGCTCCTTGAGACAGGCTGCAAAGGACAGCCAAGGGGTGCCGCCCCCCATTAACCCTTGGTGGGTGCAGGCAAGTTCTTCACAGGAAGACCTCCGTTTCTGTGGGAGCGACTCAGGCGGTGCCGATGGCCGGGAGGCCTCCAGCGGCCACCTCGCGGCCCCAGGCTCGTACTTCGGAGGATGATACTGCATTTTTGGCCCCGTAGCTTGCTCCCCCCCATATCTGTGAGTGCAGAGCCAGAGTCCACTCTCCCCACTCTGCTGCTTGCTTTGCAGACACTGAGCTGAAGCTTCCTGCTAAAGCAGAAGTCAGGTGTGCCCTGGCTATTGTGCTTTGTAGGGACCCCCAGACACGTCATTTCTCCCCAGTAGTCCCCCGCCCCCCCACGCCCGTGCCTGCGTGTCTGTAAGGGAGGGTTCGAGTTGCAACAGCCTTAGAGTGGGAGGTCACCAGTCAGAATGTCAGCTGAGCTCACGCTGCCTCTCTCATGTAATGCAACCCATCAGACCCACCTCTAATCAACAGGGAAAGTAGCTGCCTGTGCTTTTTAAATACTTCCAACAAAGTCCTTTTCCGCTAGCATCGTGCGACTTTACCTGGAGGTTAACTTGATCCTAAGCGTGTGTCATGTAACCTGAAAAACTGGTAGCTACAACATGGTCGCTTGTGCCGGATGAAGGTGACGTAAATAATAGGGGAGATTTTTGTGCCTTGGAGTCCTGCAAGTGCAGTTTCGGTGGACACGGGACCTTAAGTCAGGAACAGGTATCGCAGCGGTCGTACCAGGGCCACTTTGGAATGGATTCAGCAGGAAATGAGAAAAATGTCTTTTCTGCATTGTGAAATATGTTGTGAGCAAATTGTGCTGGTATCGCTGCCTTTTCCTGCCAAGGGGGGCATTAGGGAAGTTTCTGAACCTCTTTTTTTTTTTTTTTTTTTAAATCTGAGTTTTTGACAGGTGTGTAAGCTGTTTCCACAAAAAAAGGGTGGTAGATACATTGTAACGGAAGGCTGGCTCTCCGGCCCCTGTGAGAATTCGGATGGCTTCCACAAAACTTGAAAGATTCAGCCGTGGATGCCCTGGCTCCTTCATTATTTTAGTCTCCACGTTCCTTCCTTATGCTCCGTGAGAGGAGAGAACATCTGGGGGTGGCGGGAGAGGAGGGATTGGAGGAGCACAGTTTGCCCCTATTAACGTGCACGCTGTCTTCTCAGGAATGCCTGGGAAATGGGTTTCTGGAGAGGCGGTGCTTCTGAGGGGTTACTTTGTGTCTTGGTCACAAGGAAGATCCAGTGTGCTTTCGTGTAGAATATGCGCTTCTATTTATAAGAGTAGACTTAAAAAAATTATTGTTTGGACATTTTATCATTTCCAGTGGAATTGAAGTTCTAAATTGCTTTTTATTTTTTTAAACAACTTCTTAAACTTTTAGAATACATGTATTATATATTGTAGAAAATTTGGAAACCTTTAAATATCACAAAGACAACAATAAAAATAACCTCCTATCCACAGTTAACATCTATTATTTATGTTGTTATAAAAGTGGGATTTTCTAGTTAGCTCTTTTTCTACATAAATGCTAGCATAAGCATTTCTCTGTTATTAGATATTTTTCACTTATATTTTAATACTATATAGAATTCCATCATGAGTTTATTTAAAAGTATCTAAGCGAGTTAAGATTTTAAAATCTTTTTCAGTAGACATCTTTTTCAAAAAATGTTTTAACATTTCCCAGTTACCTCAGTCTACCTTCTCCGAAAGAAAAGACTGAAATGTGCCCTGTCGGCTGGTGATAGTACAAGTTCGTCCTTTTGCTTCCTCGCTGGCCTTGTTTGGATCCTCCGCCTCCGTGAAAGTCGCAGGCTTTGTCCTTGCCATTCGCTTCTTAGCCCTTCTTTGAAAAACAAAAAGAAGAAATTAGGTTTTCTGCTTTCCCTGTAAGACACGCTGGTTTGTACCATAGAGTAGGTGAAAGTCGCCGCACACACGCTGTCACACACACTCACACACGCGCGCACACCCGCGTTCTCGCACTCACACACAGCGCCCTGCGATGCGCTCTCTTCCAGGGCGTAGGTTGTCTCCTGGTCGTGCACCACTGCTTTGCCTGAGTTTTTGCCAGCCTCGCAGAAAACGCCGTTAGGGGCGTAAATCTGAAAAAACAGGAAGGTGTCGTCACATTGAAGTCTTTCCTGTCAGCTCTCCGGAGTCCCCTGTAACTGCTAACAGTGGCAGCGAACGCGCTGTCGGCTCTTTGGGATGGAAGGCACCGAATCGCCGCTGTGACGGGGAACATGCGCAGGCCACGGGCCCGCGAGGGAGACCTCGCCCCCGGACAGCGAAGCCGCTTGTGCATTGTGCAGCTTTGTCCAGGTTGCCCCTGGGAGTTCCAGGGGCGCCAGGCAGCCCAGACGTGTATTTTACCCAGGATCTTTTCATCTAACATTTTAAAAATACTGGAGCAAATATTTAGAGACGTTATCCTAAGGGCTATTGCTCTGACACAATTTTGGTGTTCAGAAAGGTAAACACATTTTTACCCCAAGAATGAAACTGTCAGTTGACAGCAAAGTCACGAACCCATGCATCCGGACCCCTGATACTGCAAACCCATTTGAAGAAGTGTCTAGTGGCTCCCCCACGGCAGCCCCACTGTGTCTTGGGTTTCCCTTGAGGCCAGGGCGGGGTCACTGTGCATGTTTCAAAGGAAGAATGCCTGTGTCTGCATTCTAGGTCCACACGGAAGCCTCACGGGGTCGGGGCGTGTTTGGGCATTTTGCTTTTTGGGGGCACTTTTTTTGACGACGGAGTCCCGTCTGGGGGGTCAGGGCCGGGAGAAGTTGCACCGGGTAGCGCCGCCTCCGCACCGCTCGCTTAACTCACCGTTGTTTCCCCGACAGCCGTCCCGCCTTCCTGTGCCACTGCGCCCTCGCCTTCCACACCTTCCAGTTCACTCGCTGTTGCTGCTTGCTGCTCCTCACCAGCCCCGGCGGCGGCGGCCGCAGGCCCGGCGCTAACGCCCGCCTCCGGCTGTTGCTCTTTTTCTGCAGAGGGAGAACCGGCGATTGCAGGAGGCCAGCATGAGGTTGGAACAAGAGAACGACGACCTCGCGCACGAACTGGTCACCAGCAAAATCGCCCTGCGGAATGACTTGGATCAGGTACACTTGTCGTTCACCGGGAAGAAATCAGACCCTGACAGCCTCCTCAAGGGCAAGGACCCGGTTTCTCCCACCGCAGCCCTGCAGGGGCTGCCTCTGTGCCTGACACTGAGCCGGCTGCGTGAGGGGTGAGCGGGTGCGCGAGGGCGGGAGGGGGCCGCTTGCGCTAATGGGAGCAGGTGGGAAACGCCAGCCTCTGAGAAGGGCTGGGGTCATTTCCGAACAGCAGGTGTGACAGGTTTTTTTATGCCTCTGCTCTTCTCTGGTGTCTCTTCCCTGCACCTGTGCTTTCCCAAAACCAAGGCTGCCAGCATAGTCACCTGAGAACATCAGTCACAAGAATCCGCTTCTACGAGAAATGCGAAGGCTTCATAGGACGTGCGGACATTAAGATGCGTGTGTGGTTGGGTTGGCAGGCACCCTAGTGGCTGAGTGGCAGCACTGCCCGCGTGTGACCTGGCATTACTGTTTCCCGGCCGTGTGACCTGGGCAGTGCCTCGCCGGCCTGTGCGTATAAAAAAGCCTCCCTCATGAGATGGTTCGAGAATAGTTATCCTAAAGGTAAAGGACGTCGGTAGTGTGTGTTGAATAAAGGTTCGCTGCTGCTCGGAAGACCTTAAATTGTTTAACTTCCCTTGTTCTTTCAGCTTTAGGATCTCTGTTTTCCGTTGCTAGCATTTTCAAAACCAGTTGGCAATACGGAGGGAGTCTTGTGTAGGTTTAAAATGATCGCTTTTATTTTCTGACTTTTAAAAAGTGAACATTCCCAACAAATGGTGCAGGGTCAAAACTTGAGACTTAGACTATTAAATGTGTAAAAAAGAGGCATTATTGTGCTCCAACTGTGCACTGAGAATATTTAAAATACAAATCCATTAATAATATAAATCTGATTGGATTAAGATTGAAGGAATTTTTAAGTATTTAAAAATGGTCCTTGCCATGACTTCCTATCTCCATATAAACATCTGACTTTGCAGCTCACCAGGTTTAACCACAGTGAGATGGCCGCTTAGACCCCTGGCAAGAACCGTAGTGCCGACTAACGGGGACAGGTGGAAGCCAAGGAGTCGGCACTAAGTGGAGTTTGAAAATAAAGCAAAGCCTGGGCTTGCCGCTGGGGACACCAGATGGGAAGGTAGAAAAGGCAGCCCAGTCGGGGTGGGAGGGGGTGGCCCTTTTAACCGCCCACCCCATGCACCCCGCCTCTTTGTAAGGTGTTAGCATGAAAAATGCATGGCTAAGGGAGTCCGAGCCAGAGGAGGAGCGGCGTCCGCAGGCAGGCAGCGCCGCGCCCCGCCTGACAGCAGCTGCTCTAGTTCTGTGCTAACGAGACGCCAGTGGCGCGTTAGCGCTGGGGTGACGTTCTTGGCTCCCTCTCAGCTTTCCAGGGGCCTCCGCTCACAGCTGGTTCTCTCACTTGGAATCCGTTGTCCGCTAGTGGTTTCCCTAAGATGGCCAGCTGAATGGAAAAGTTCTAAGCAGTTGGACTCAGTGGGGTGCAGTGAAATAGGTAGAGCTGTAAATTGAAAGTTGTGTGGGTGACGCATTCGGTAAGCCTTTAAAGGTTTAAAAATAATGAGATTAAATGCTGGCTGAGTGTCTACTATGCACCAAGCAATATATTTAGTGATTTATGAGCATTATCTTATTTAATCTTCCTAATGACTTCATATTTTAATCTTCCATTTGATAAATGAGGAAACTGGAACACACACACACACACACACACACACACACAGACTAGCGGTCCTGAGAAAAAGCAAGATTTGGTCAAAAATGTACATACAAGGCTATTTACTGCAGTGTTACTTATAAGAAGAAAAAATAGAAATAACATATATGTCCAATAGAAGAGGAAAACAAAAGTATATTTGTAAAGTGTCTTTTTTGGAATAGCTTTTAAAAACAAAGGAAAAAATGATAGAAGTTTTTTAAAAAAATACAGTAAATTAATTTGTATATAATGTTTGCATCTAAATCGTGAGGGTTGTGGGTGGCATCCTGTAAGGAACAGAGGCTGGAATATACCTGGACAGGGAAGAAGCCAACAAGCAAATACGGTGCTGCTAGATTTCTCTGGGTGATAAGAGTAAATCTAATTTTTATATTTATCTTTATACCTTTTTTTTTCAATTACTAATCTTTTATAAGACCTTAAATTATTTAACCACCCTTGGTTAAGCAACAATATGCATTTTTTAGTAATCAGAAAAAAATATTGTTTAAAACTTTGTTTAAATTTTTAAATATAAAATATATTATTTTAAAAGATATTATTTAAAGGAAATATATTATTAAACATAAAAATAATCATAAAAATATATTATTTAAAGGTGTTTCCAGCCCTGGCTGGTGTGGCTCAGTGGATTGAGCGCTGGACTGTGACCCGAAAGGTCGCCGGTTCGATTTCGTCAGGGCACAGGCCTGGGTTGCGGGCCAGGTCCCCAGTGCAGGGCACGCAAGAGGCAACTGATCAATATATCTCTCACACATCCATGTTCCTCTCCCTCTTTCTCTCTTTCTTCCCTTCTCTCTAAAAAATATAAAATAAATAAATAAAATCTTTAAGAAAAAGTTTTTCCAAGAAAATCCCTTCGGTGGGTCAGTCTGGAATGACTGCTCCATGGGGACCCCTGAAATAACCGGTCATTGAACACCCAGGAGCCTGACGCAGATACTAGCTCAGTCCCTGAGGAAAAGTTCGTCCTTCCTTTATTCCTTCTCACTCTTACCTCCTCCCACCACCTCTCTCTCTCTCTCTCTTTTTTTTAGTCCTCAGCCAAGGACATGTCCATTGATTTTAGAGAGAGGAAGGGAAAGAGAAATGTCGATGTGAGAGAAATATTGGTCGGTTACCCACTTACGCACCCAGACTGGGGATGGAACCCGCAACCTTTGGTGTATGTCAGGGCGAAGCTCTATCAACAGAGCCCGCCAGCTAGGGCAGCTTTGTCCCTCTTGTTTAAGTAATATGACCTGGGCCCTGCTTTTGAAGCTTTTTATCTAATGAAAGAATAAACATTGCTGTTTCATGCATGTTCCCCCCTGAGGTTGCAGTTCTGCCCCAGCAGGACTTACCCCCGGGGCGCAGGGGATCTGCCCCCGCAGCTCCAAGGAGGGGCACTGGCCTGAGGGCAAATGGCCGGCTGGGGTGCTTCACCCAGTTAGCTGGCCTGGTACTTTTCTTATCACAATGGAACGTCTTCGTTAAAACAGCAAACCTGGCAAACATTAAACAAACATGAAAGCAGATTGTATTTGAAATACTATTTAAAGCAAACACTAATTAGGTACTTTTAACAAGTAAATGACTCCCTACCCTTGTCACATCAGCGTTGGCTTCAGGCTCCCTAGGCCCCGTGGGCTGTTAGCTTTTCTCTGATGCAGACTTCTCTTTGGGGAACTCGCCCTCCTTCAGGTCCCTAAAACAGGTTTCTGGGCGATCAGAAACAGAAAGAGGAAACACCTGCAGCTCAGTGTCTGCTGCTCCCTGCCCTCGGGCCCCTCCTGTCCTTTCCCGTCCCCCAGGAACCCGAAAGAGATGCAGCGAGTGCGTTCCCACCGGGGGCCGTGCCGAGGTCCCATCTAATCACAGCAGGTTTCGTGTTCGACCAGAAGCGATGTGTGCTAAGTGGCAAATCAGTTTGTTTTAGATTGAGCAACCGGCTAGTTCTTTGAGAAACCATTTCCGAAAGATCCTCAGGCCAGTGTCAGCTGGGCGTTTTGCTCAGGTTATCGGTTGATCCATGACCGCATCACAGAGTGCAGTGTGGTTTCTGGCACACTCTCAAGGCAGCCCAACGTAGCGGAGAAACTTCCTGGAGAACTCTGGGGCTCCTTCCATACGGGGCCCGCAGAACTTTCTGCAGGGGTCAGACTTGATAGCAATAGGAATAGAGTGAGCTTGCCCTACCTTGGCCTAGTGAAGAATGTGTCGTGGAAAATGTGAAATAAAAATAGCAGGTCCTCTCGTGATAAATTTAGTCGTTCATTAAAAATTTTCTCAGGGAAGTGGCTTTCTTTTCCTTTTATTACAGGTATTTCCCAAACTGTAAAGTGCCTTTGTTGAGATCCATCTTTAATTTTAAGATGTTCTTTTGCTGTGTAGACTTTCCCCCCAAAACCTAATGTATTAGTGTCTTGAAAAGGGACTTTTTCACCGTAAGCACCTGACAGTTCCAAATGGTCAGAAAACAGGCTCTGACCCCTGGGCTTCAGGATGCAGGGACGTTGGGCAGCAGGAACAGAGAGGCTGGGTGCAGCTTCCCTGCCAGTGCCCAGCAGACTCTGCTGGCCTGGCCATCGGGACAGGCGGGAGACACGGCGAGACAGGGGCCACCTGGCCCGCGTTCGCGGCCACTTGGATAGCGTTTTGCTGCTGCCAGCCAGGATCAGCTTCTTCGAATAGCCACCTTCCCCTGTGCCTGTGGTGTCCTCTGCTGAACTCGCCTGTGGCTCTCCGCCCCCTCTGCTCCACACAGTCTGCTTCGGGGGCGACTCTCAACTCTCAGGGCCACGTCCACTCATTTGCCAAACACTCGGCACCTGGTGCTGGCTGGCTTCTGAGGCTGCGCTGACGCTCAGAAGCGGTCGAGCTCTGGCCTCCCAGAGCTTTCAGTCTCGTGGGCAAGATGAGTCAGTCACACGTGGAATTTGTCATTACAGATCGTGCTAAGAGCTGTCAAGGGAACTGTGACAGGTTTAAACGGGAGCTAATTTAGATGGGGGTGAGTGGGCAGGGCACGGGCCACGCTTCCCTGCACGTGCAGACTTGAAGCTGAGAAGGAAAGGTAAAACGGGCGCATGTTCGCTGAGTTAAATAGACACACAGTGCTTTCCTGGTTAAGCTGGGCTCTGTGTCTAAGTTAAGGCCAGAACACTTTTCTGAGATTTTCTTGGCCATTCTAGAAATGCAGTCTTTTCTGTTTGGATTGCTGGTCCCTACTTCACTTTTCCTCATGGAGATCCCTGTCATGGGCTTTGGCCCTGGTTTCTCACTTATGTACTCACCCCCGTGGGGCTCAGCCGGCCTCGCACGTCCTCCCCGACTGCGGTCCCCAGCTCGGCCCAGCTCTCCGCTGCCCGCTCGGAATCCACCCCGAGGCACTGCCGTTAGAAGCTTCCCCCTGAGGCTCCGTGCCTGCGGCCACCCTGTGCACAGCCTCAGAGGGAGTGCTGTAGGGCATCCAAAAATGTGTGCGGAGCCCCGAGAGCGTGCGTGGGCTCCGCGTCGGCCCAGGGCCCTGACATCCGGTGTGCACCCCAGGCCCGGTGGGCCCCCTCTGCCCACCCGCTGTCGCTGTCAGTGCAGCCGTCGCTGTTGGGAGGGCCAGAGAGACCGTGTGCCCAGGCCTGTGCGTAGCTGGCCTTCAGCGAAGGCAGCCGCCCCCTGGTTAGCGGGGAGGGAAAGGACCGGCTCGCGGCGGCGTTGGAGCCGGCAATGCCGGAGCCGGACAGAGGACGCGCGCGCCCCCTTCCCGCCTTTGTGACCGTGCCACGCTCTGACTCGCAGGCAGAAGACAAGGCCGACGTGCTGAATAAGGAGCTCCTCTTGACCAAGCAGAGGCTGGTGGAGACGGAGGAAGAGAAGAGGAAGCAGGAGGAGGAGACCGCTCAGGTAGCAGGCACCGCGGGCCCTCCTTCACCCGGTGTGTCACACACAGATGCAGGGGCCGAGCGTCATTCTAAGTCAGGGTGACGCTGAAGCAGTCCCTGTGAGTAGCCTGAGTCTCAGCGTTTCTTCTGAAGGTGCTAGAACGGGAGGCGGCATTTCTCCCTTGAACAGCTTTCAGGAATTTGCCTTTACTGAGCCGTCTAGCACGCGTGTTAAATTTTCTCTAAGTTTAGTAACTTGGGACTGTGATCCAAGAGCTTTGACAAATCTGCAAATTTCGGGTCGTATCTCCAAGAAAATTGCCTCCTCTGAAGTAATGTATGAGGACTGGTAAGCTGAGAGCCCACAGAGCTCTCTGCGGGGAGCTGCCTCCACCAGTCACGCTTCCCAGCCTCGAGCCATACCCCTCCCCCGGGTGGTGCGTTCCTGCAGAGCTCGTGCACTGTTCCCTGGGGACGAAAGGGGACCCTTGGGGACCCGGCCTTGGACTTAGCCCCCCACCGTCTCCTGTGAGTTGGAGGCTGTCCAGCTAGAAGATGCCTCCACCGAAGGGGGCCGGACTGGCGACCAGAGGGGCTTCTCTGCTCGAGGGATGGGCGCTCTCGGGGCGCTGCTCCCCGGTGTCCTCCGCCTCTGTCCGCCCCGCCAGGCTGGCTAACGCACTCGTTGTGACGGGTGTCATTCGGAGACATCCAAATCACTAACTAAATAGAACACAAAGCCTTTCAGAGATTCACGTCCAAGCAGAGAAAGTTTCAGTGAAGTTACAAATGAAGGGAGGTACCATTTAGCACCTTTGGAGGTTTATAAAAAGTGTTCCTTGGTTTTTTGTTGTTGAAAACAATAACAGGTCTTTTGGCATTTACTGTGGACCAAGAATTTTTTTTTTTTTTTTGGACATACTCAAAATTTTTCAGGGGCTAATTATCCAGTTGGGTGTAGGCCTTTTGATGGGTATTGTTTTTTGGTTTGTTTGTTTTTACCTCCTGCCTTTTGGGGGCTCACTTCGGTACCTTAAGTAAAGGATGAAGCGGCTGGCAATTGAATTTAATCCATCCTTCTTTCCTGTGTGTGCGTGTGTGTGTGTGTGTCCTGTTTTAATCATTATGGTAAGTCGTGAGGTCTGTTAGAGGAGGAAACTATGGCTCAGAGAGTTAGGTGTCAGAGCCTCTGAGCTATCCAAGTGGGTCCTAAGGTCAGTGGGCCCCGTCACAGGACAGGACAAGACTGGGGTTCATATCCTTAAATTATGTGAGATAGAGGATAGAGATCTAACAACTAAGCCTGAATCAGAGTAACCTACAAACTGCTTTCAGAATCCTAGAATGTAGCAAATATGAAGGAATTTGGGAATCTTCTAACGAGAGGAGCCCGATTATAAAGCGCACTAATTTGTGAGGTAGCAAATACAGAGGATTCTGTAAACAGTTGAATTCTGCCCTGCAGCATCCCAAATTACGAATGGGCTGTAACTAAAGTTTTTGTTGGTTTGGTCAACAACTTGGAAGAACTGAATTCTTTCCCCTTCTCCTGATAGCACCTGAGCTTTTCTGTCATCTTCACCTTCCCTGTGCCTAGAATTCTAGAGCTTCCAGACTGCAAAAATAACTGGCTTTGAGTTTAGCATTCGTAGTTTAGTATTTCTGTGACTATTAACGATTACCTGCCTTATGTGTCTGTCACCTTAGCTCCTTCTGAAGTCACTGCTTCTTTAGTCCCTGACTCTCCTGTCCTCAGGGGCCCTCACCTTTCTCCATCTTTCTCTGGCTCCAGTCCCAGAGCCTCCTGCTCCTACCGTCAGGGCAGGGACAGCGGTGGCAGTCAGGGACTATGAACAGGAAGGCCTGGTATGTTTCCTCCGTCATTGATTATATTGCATCAGGGGTACATGCAGCGTTGTTTTGTTTGAGACTCTCATAAGGATGAAGGTAGCTTCTGAATCGACACTTCATCAACAATAGGGTCATAAATTAAGTAGTAAGCGTAGGCAGTTCTGTAATCAGGTGGCTCCTATGCCTTATACGTTATGGGAGAGAATGATTTCTGTATCGCTTGAGATGATCAGGTTTTTCAGATGATCAAGGTGCGGCTTCAGCCCTGGCTGGTGTGGCCCAGTGGATTGAGCGTCGGCCTGCGAACCAAAGGGTCACCAGTTTGATTCCCTGTCAGGGCACATGCCTGGGTTGCGGGCCAGGTGCCCAGTTGGGGTGCGCGAGAGGCTACCACACGTTGATAGTTCTCTTCCTCTCTTTCTCCCTCCTTTCCCTGCTCTCTAGAAATAAATAAATAAAATTAAAAAAAAAAAAGATGCAGCTTCAGTGAGGCAAATTCATGTAGTTACAGTGTTTATACCTCGTCTTGGACTGTGACTCTGGCAGACTTGAATCTAGATGTTTGTGGAAATTACTAAGATTTTGACTGAGTCTTGATGTTTCTCCTCCTCGCTCTAGCTCAAAGAGGTCTTCAGGAAACAGCTAGAGAAGGCAGAGTATGAAATAAAGAAGACGACAGCTATCATTGCCGAGTATAAACAGGTAACACGCCACTCTGGCTTTTGTCCCTAGAAGAGCGATTGTCGTCGTTGTTCTTGGGGAACTATATTTTGTTTGTGGAATTTCCAGAACAATGACTGCACGGCAGTCATTAAATTTGGTGGCTTCTCGTCGCCTCTGAAACTGACAGTGGTTGGACACGCTTGCTGGTAACAGGGGAGGTTCATCTGAGCAAAACAATCTGTTGTTTGTTTATAACAATTGCTAGATTCAGAGGAACACAAGACACTATTATTACCATGGGGATCCCGTCTCTGCCCTCCGCAGAAGCTGCTTCCTGTAGAGCGCACAAGTATCATTTGCCTCTTTGCCAAGGACTGAAGTTTAGCGATTGCGTTGAATGGCAGCAGCTAGGGGATCGGTGTGGCCTCTGCTGTTCACAGCATAGCATGTGGGCACCTGTTTCCCCCCACGGCCCTGTGGCCTTGGAGCGGGAGACCACGCCTGTGCACACAGCAGTGGGAAGGGACCTTGCTGCCTGTGGAGCGTGGGGAAGCCCTTCCTGGAGGAGGGGCGACCTGTCTGTGCTCCCGGGGCCAGGGGAGACGTGGGTGTGTGGAGAGGGAGAGGGGAGGGCGGCCGTGGGGGGCGGGGCTGGCGCGAGCACCGGCGCGGTGGGGGCGGGGGCGGGGGCCGGGGGGGGGGGCTGGTTAGTGGACAGGAATAGCTTAGTCCGACAAGAGCTTCGAGGCAGAAGAGTGGCACAGGTGAGCCTGGGCCTAGTTCAAGGAAGGTCTTCGGGGACAGCTGAGGAGCTGGCGTTTAATTCTCTTTGTAGTAGGAACCGTTTGAGCAGGAAAGGGCACAATCTGGGGCCCGGGGTCGGCACTGCTCTGTCCCGGTGGGATCCACAGGCAGAGACACAGAGCAGTAAGGGGCAGAGCGCGGAGTCCAGGTGAGGAAGAGGGGGTGCTGGCCGAAATCCGTGGTGACGACCACGGACAGGAGGGGGCACGGGAGACCGCGTGTCGGCCAGAGTGAGGGAAGACGTTGGAGGCGGCCCTGAGGCTGTGGATTTGGGCGAGGAGGAGAGGGGATTGCTGGACGCTAACCGATGCAAGGGACGGTCATGGCTGTGTGCTGTGGAACTTGCCGTCACCGCAAGTGCAATTTCTTTGTCACCACGTTGGGCCATGGGTGGCTGCCATATGCTGCACTCTGCAAATAGCGATCCTCAGGACGACTTTTGAATATTATCTGGCAAGCACTTCAAGTAATGTAAAAGGCAACAGACCCATCTGTTGGAAGATAATTAGGACATAAAACATGATCTAAATGCTTTTTATAGTTGGAATTGGCTTTTATTGGCTATATTTCAGAATGTTTTGGTTTATTTAAAAGGATACATGGTTTGTTGAAATTACTAGGGAGATCGCTTTTCCCCCAAATGTTGGCTAACGCCGGCTTATTTATGGTTTCCAGGCTGAGATCTGGAGAAATTAGAGCCTGAACTGCACACGCAGGCCCTGGTTTCTAGAACTGTTTTTGAATAAACTGTGATTTCTTTTTCATGTCTGTTTGGATAATAGAGGTAGATCTTTTATGTTTTTAGTCCAAATTGCATGTGAAAATTTTACATCCCCTAACTCTATTATTTCATTTCTCACAAATAAAGATTTAGATTTTACCCAAGGTCAATGAGAATGGAACTTCTAGTATTTTTTTTTAAACTTTTTTTTCCCCTTTGGCTTTGAAAGCACTTATCTCTACCTGTTCCAGTAATTGTTAGTACTTATTTCAGAACCAGTAATAATGAGATTTTACTTAATGAGTGCTTATCAGCCAGGTGCTATGCCGAACTCTTCGCCTACATCTTTTCTGTTGATTCTCACAGCACAACACCTTCTGGCCCCGAGGAAGCGGAAGCGCAGACAGATTAGTGAGTCCCTCGGCAGACACAGTGCCAGGAAGCAGTAGAACCGCACTGCCAGGCTTCCCGTGTGTGCCTGCTGCCAAACCACCTGATGAGAGTTTTTAGTCTTTATTATTTTCCGAGCATTTAAACCTCACTTAGTTTTATTCACTCTGCCACTTCTTTAGGAAATTTTTGTAATTGAAAACAGAGGCTTTTTACTGTGGCTCAGGCAGGAGACATTTCTGTTTCAGAGTTTTTTCCATCCGGTTCCCAGCACAGAGAGTATCTTGCATAAAGTGTGCGCTCAGCAAAGATTCTGTAGAGCGATTTCAGGAGCGAGGCCGGGAATCCCCCGGAAGCAGTCACAAAGGCTGGCGCCGGGAAGGACCCAGGACTTCCCCGTGGGTCCCCTTCTGCTGTTACGAAGGCGCCTTGCTAACCCAGGGGCCCTCCCAGGCTGCCGCGGCCGCAGGAATGAGAGCGCTGGCGGCGTCGCCCGCTCGCTCAGTCTCCGCAGCATCAGAGGTGTGATACCGCAGGGGTTGGTAAGGTCATGTGCACACACTGGGAGAGTTGTCTGTTGTCCAGTAAGGGAGTTTTTTCTTTTCTTTCCTTTAGATCTGTTCCCAGTTAAGCACCAGGCTGGAGAAGCAGCAAGCGGCCAGCAAGGAGGAGCTGGAAGTGGTAAAGGTGAGGAGTGGAATAGTTAATAGTTCTGCGATAGAATGTCTTCCTCTCCCCCGGTCCTGAGCGCGCCCCTGATAGGAAGCTCCCCTTCTCTCCGATGCCCCACAGGCAGGACGGCTCGTCCGGTCGCACCCACCCAGCCCTTGGATCTGAGGACCTAGGAATCGTTCAGGAGAGTCTCTCTCTTCTGACCGGGTGTGGCCTTCTCCCCTGCAGTTGGAAGGCTGTGTCCCCGCATGTCTTCTGGGCTGTCGGAGGCAGGTAGCGGCTTTCGCATCGGCATGGGAGGCCTGAGCGTTCTTGGCTGGTGGTCTCTGGGAGCCCCCAGCGGCCTGCGCCCCAGCTGTGCCTGAATTGACGTGATGCCTCAGCGTGTGCCCGTAGTCTCATCCCTCACTCTCTTGAACAGTAAATGGCATGAGTAGCCTAGAGCTTAGCTGGAAAACACAACGTTGGGGAACTGATTCTAATTTTTTAGATTATTTTAAAAAAAGATTTTATTTATTTTTAGAGGGCAGGGAGGGAGAGAAAAATGTGTGGTTGCCTCTCGAGCAACCCCTGCTGGGGACCTGGCCTGCAACCCAGGCATATGCCTTGACTGGGAATTGAACTGGCGACCTTTTGGTTTGCAAGCTGGTTCTCAATCCTGTTCTCAATCCAGCCAGGGCTAGAGGCTTGTTTAAAAAAAGAAAAAAACCTTGTAGCATTTATTTGTATCCTGCCCCCTGGTGGTAAAACTCCTTACATTGATTATTTGGAAAAGCAATTGCTTATTTTGTGGAAACAGCAGCAAACCAAATGGATTGGTATTCTTAAGAAGTAATGTTGGCACCGCCAACTCTTGGACCAGTGTTCTAGAAACCTGATGCAGTTCTATTTGAATATGTTCAGGTTTCATACTGGTAATTACTATGCGTTCTAGGGATTTCAGCATATAATTTAACGACTTGGGCAGGTTATTTGACCTCTCTAAACTTTATTTTATCTTCTGTAAAACAGATAACAGTACCTACCTCGTAAGGTGGCAATTTTGAAGACTAAACAAGATACTGTATATAAAGTGTTTTGGGACACAATAAATGTGTTTTTTTTATAAGTTATAACCTGAAAATCTGAGACATGAGAAATGAAGATATGAACCTTCTTCTAGCTTTGTATTACAAAAGTGTGGCTTTTATTTCATGTTATAAAACACCACCAGTCTGAGGTTATTAGTGACCATAAAGTTGGTGGTCGCCCTCCCCAAACCTGCTAAATTTAAGGTTCACAGCTTCCCTTTCTGTTCTTCCTTTGTCCCCACTTCCTACTTAGCCTTTTTCATTCTTTGCACCTTTGTAGGCACAGTGACCAAGACTCAGTTGACGAAGTGTGTTGGCCTAAAAGGATTAACTCTCCTGAACTAAAGTCTTTGTGGAAATAAAAATGAAACAAGGATTTATATCGATCACTCAGTGAAGGTTTTTATCGAGCATCTACTGTGTGCACGGTTATTAGACTTCTGTCTTTTGCAGAAATTTTGCATGGCAAAGAGCTCAGAACTTTCCTACAGGGACGAATTATATAAAGATGCCTGCGTGTTTAATTATTTATATCGCACCCGCATTCCATGGTAGTCTTTCAGACCAAAGAAGATGCAAGGATACAAGGGCCCCCCTCCAATGGGGTGAGCTCCCTAAGCAGCCGTCTTAGAAGTGCCATACATATCAGAACTTAATTTCATGGCTACATGTAGCTTCAAGGGAGCCTAGAAAATGCACCTTTTAACTGGGCATTTTCCAGCCCCTGTAACGTCAGGCCCTGTCCGTGAGGAAGGAGGTGGACGTGGGCAGGACCTGTGGTCTCCCGCCCGTCAGCATGTCTGCTCTGTGAGCCTCGTCGCTCCAGCTCCGGCGTGGAGCACAGGATCCGGGGGTGCAACGGCATGGGTTTTCCCCAGGAAAAAGTCAGGATGCACCAACAGTCCTTATAGGGACCTTTACAGTGTGGCCCAGGGGGCCTCTCCTCACCACCTGCCTCTCACTAGTGCATCACTTCCTCTCTGCTTAGGCCTCTCGCCCCCCGTAGTTCTCGGAAGGCAGCGTGTGTACCCACGGTGTCCTCTCTGCTGCAGTGTCCCCCTCCCTCTTGGGAGACCGGTCTCTTCCTTTATAAGGTTCAGCCTAATGAAACTGCTTGCCCAGCATAGTAGACCTTCAGTCACTCAAGACCAGATCAAAAGCCACCATGTTAACATTTTATTTAGTCAACAGTAGGCACAGAGCAGACACTTGCAGTGTGCCTATCCGTGCCGACCTGGGTTCTTCAGGGAGCCCGGGGTGTCTCAGGGACCTAGCCAGGCAGGGGCCCGCCGAGCGCGGTAGGGCTGCGGTGAGAGAGAAGCCAGCAGGGGCTGAGAAGGTGATTGGGGGGTCCCGGCCCGGGACAGGGAGAGCGCGGCTGTGTCAGAGGAAGAACCTAGCGACCAGCTGGCGTGGAACGAAAAGATGGCACCCAGTCTTCAGGCCTCAGCGGTTGGCCGCGCGCGCCATGACACGCGATGGGGGAGGGGAGAGCGGCTGTGTGTGCGAAGAGAGGAGAGCAGGGTCGTGGGCGTGGGGCTTGCCGCGGCGGTGGCCGGTGTCAGGGTGCAAAGGTTATATAACGCCTTCTCTCTCAGCTGTTTCGGAGATACTTAAGGAAAACAATGGCACGGACGCTGGAAAGAGCTGCTGCTGTCCGCGCTGACTACACCCTGCTTGGCAGTGCGGGCCAGAGTTGCTTTCACGTCCCTGAACAATGGTGGTTATCTTTGCTGGAAGCGGAACAAAAGGACATAGAATTTATTTGCTGCGAGGGTAGATGTAGGTTAGTCATAACGACCTCAGCCCACTTTAGGCAAGTTACTTAAACTCTGGGTCTCGCCACTTATGGATGGGGGGCGCACTAGTGCCTCATCACCCCGTGGCTCCAGGACTAAATGAGATCGCGCACGCAGAGCGCCGTGGATGGGGCTTGGCATCTACGAGCATGTTGCGAGTACAGAATTCCTAGACCAGATGTCAAAGCGGCGCTCTACTACTGTCTAGTCCCAGAGCTTCTCTAGAGAGACCTGAGGGAAGAGGGTAGCTGAGTTCTGTGTCGACTCTGACCTTTTTGGTTGTAGCACAAGAGAAATAACTGCGTTCAGACATAGGCCTCCATTTGGCGGCAACAAATAGCATCTGAGGAGAAACCAAATCGCACACTGCTTTAGGAGGCGATTTACGCTGTAGGATACACGGCCAGACGTTGGCTCTCTCTTGGCTGTTCCAGGGTAAAATGATGGCGTGTAAACACTGCAGTGACATTTTCAGCAAGGAGGGCGCCGTGAAGCCAGCGGCTGGCAGCCGAGCGGACCAGGGAACCGAATCCGATGATGAGAAGGACTCACTGAAGAAGCAGCTGAGGGAGATGGAGCTGGAATTGGCACAAACCAAACTGCAGCTGGTGGAGGCCAAGTGTAAAATCCAGGTTGGTGACTTGATAAAAGGTCAACGAGGAAAAGCAGAGTGAGTGTCCCGGGCTATTCCAGGACCTCACGGTAGACACGCTTAGCTCCGAATCGCAGGGGTTATGATGGGGTCACTTTTCTGCCTGAGAATCATAGTCAGATGTTATGTCCTTATTTTTAAACACTGATATAGACACATAGATTTAAATGAATATTAATAATTAAAATCATATCTTAGGTGTATGCTTTTTTAGTTTACCCCATGATTTTTATTTATTAATTTTTTTTTTTTGGCCAACGTCATTCCTGCTTGACCTTGTCACTTTGGTAGCTGACCCTGAAAATGAAAGGGCAGGCTTCCTCTGTGATTCCTCCCCCGAAGGCTGAACATTGGCTGACACCTGTTTTGTTTTTTTTTTCCCTTTTCATCTTTACCTGATTTTGCCAAACCTCTTGCTCCATAATCTCTTTCCGTATTGGGAGGGTGACGTAATTAGAAAAATAGTCTCGGCTTCTGATGGGCTGTGATCTGTTCCCACCGCCACGACCTGCTGCGGCTCCAAGGCCGCTGCCCTGGCTGCCTTCGCTGTCTCTGTGCTGGGCCTTGTACGTTCTCGGGGCAAAGGCCATGTGTTTGGAGCTAGAACTCACTCACGCTTACTCCATCAGTAAAAAAGCAACCCATCCATGTTTTTATGTTTATTTCTGGTTTTAAACCTGTTATCTCAGGTCTTCACCTAAACCTGCATGGCAGGGGGAATGAAAGGGTAACATGAGGTTCCATTTCACTGTTCAGAAAAAGCAGATTCTGGTTTTGAGCGGTAACTCTTCTGGCTGTAAACCTTTCTTTCCCCCCACCACTAAGAAGCCACTTAAATTTCTCCTGAGCTTTCAGAAGGAAAACCATGGATATATAGACCTGGAGATTCTGAAAAGCTGTACTTGGATTTTTTCTTTTTTTGTCACAGAGAAAACATTGATAAAAACTCAGATGATTTTCTTCCTTTAATTAGGAACTTGAACATCAGAGAGGGGCCCTTATGAATGAAATCCAAGCTGCAAAAAACTCTTGGTTTAGCAAAACCCTGAACTCTATCAAAACGGCCACAGGCACCCAGCCCCCGCCGCCGCCACAGGCCGCCCAGCCCCCCAAGGAGAGCACATAGTTCCAGCCTCGCCCCGCACAAGAGCACAACGATCAAAGCGACAGAGGCCCCAGGACTCTCCCAGGCGTCCCTTTTGAAGAAGGAAAGTAAAGGAGGCCAGGAAGCAAGCCCCGCCTCTCCGCGGCCCTCCTCTTTCTTGTATGACGCTTTCAAAGGGACGTTGTTTAAACTGACTCGATTTCTGTTGAACACCTGTTCTCCAGCTTCTTGGAAGGCCACGTTCCGATCCATCCTAGTAGTACGCATTATTTTACATGCTGATATTTAGTTGGAAATAAGTAATTCAGAACTAAATACTTTCTGTTGAGAACTAACTTCATAATTGTTTTTACCTTCCATAAAAATGGAGATGTCTTTTATTCCAAGGTTGAAGTGATAGGAAGATATTTGTCACAGACAAAAAAAAACAATTGAAACCTGAAACTCCTGCCTTTTCGGGACTGATTCAGATGAAGCGCACTGTGGGCGCGTCAGCACCACAGCGGGGTTTCCACCTGACAGGGACTCCCTGGCCTGCGAGGGTCCTGGCCAGAGGGGAGGGCAGGCGGACCTGGAATTGGCCAGTCCCCAGAGGCAGTTCGATTGTTTCAGTTTCTGTTGGGGGCATCGGGAGACAAAGTGCCAAGAACCTGGGAGAAGATGGGCAGTTGAGGAGAGGAACTGAGATTTTGATAAATGCAGGAAGAACTAAATCACGTTGGCACTGGGGTTCTAACAGGTCCTTCAAAGAAATCCGTACGGGAATGGCAAGTACCTAAGTAGGAACACAGTGGTGAGTTCTGGCAAAGATAAAAGTTGGAAGTAGATACTGGGAGTCGCAGCCTTATGAAACCTTCCGCAGAGAAGCTTAGGTGGACTCAGATTCAGCCATTGTGGTCAGAATAGGAAACAGAGCCAGGGACAGAGTATGTCATTTAATGTTGACATGTACTTGCTAAGGGAACACTAATAGATATATCGTAACTTTGTTGAAGTTATAAAATGGGAGATCGAGGCTAGCTTCACATCATCTTAATGTTAGGCAACTTTTCCTGATTTCTGTAGCCCCCCAAAACATGCCCTTGGTACCCGTAGATGTAGAGATGCAAATGCATTTGTAACATTTCTGATTGAATATGAAACCTTTATAGAAATACTTATCTCATGGAAAGGTAAAGAGAGCTATTTACAAGTTGATGGAAATATTTTTTCAATTATATTTAACATCTATATCAATAGTCCTTGCAGGAAATCCTTTGGTAAGGGCAAAACGAATTTTCCCATTTTTCTAAGCTATTTTGGAGGCCTTTGATCTTTTCCACCAACCCAGCTACTGTCAGGTGCATACGGTCACATTTACTCACCCTCATCCTTGGCTTCCTTTATGAACATACTTTGCAAAGGATCTTAAACTCTCTATTGCCAGAGTGATTCTCATCTGTGCCATATGATGCAATTAAAACTAACACAGTCCTGGGGAGAAAAATCGAGGAAGAATGATCTCAGCTCCAGGAGCACACACTACAAATTGCTTCCCTTTAAAACGATCATTAAACTCTAAGAAGAAAAGTCGCTTCGTTGGTGTTTATATCCTCTACAACCTGTAAAACTGATAGGGTTGTTTGTCATCCTTCGTTACACTCATCAAAAAATATTGTACTTTCTTACAGAATTGTTTTTGGTCCTGACGTCTTTCATCATTATATTCCTTTCCTTGACCAAAAATGAAAATAAGCCAGCATTCAAGTGTCTGTGTTGACGTTAACATTCCCTACATGGTGGGTTAGAAAAGCTTATCTTTTTTGTGTGTGTAAAATATAATGGCTAGAGAGTTGCATCTTGGTACTTGTTTCTGTAAATCATATATTATAATTTATTAGCTTTACTGATACTTTATTCTTTGATTCCAAGAAGCCTTGTACAAGTTGCCTTATCAAATGGCCAGCTAAATTAAAGATTTTTTTGTGTGCGTTTTCTGAATCTTATAGTTCTACTGTATAGAGTTCTTTTTAACTTCCAGAAATTGGCACATTCCACAGAATGCCTAAATAATTTTCCTTAAATAGTAGAGGGAGAATAGTTTGATGTCCAGTCCTTACCTGTAAACCTGACTCAACTTCATAGTCCCGTACATTTTTTTCTTCAAACAAAATCACAAGGTACATACATTCCAAATGTTTAATAAATCAATCTTTTGCATTTCCTTTTAATTTTTTCAAAAGATTGTAAGAGTAATCTATACATTTTTTTTTTCCTTTCCGGTTCCATATCATACTTGAGTATGTTTTCGTTCCATAGGTCTAAGCTGTTCTTCACTGCAATGCCTTTGGGTCAGTAGCAATAGTAAAGATAAAAAGAAAGAAAATTCAAAATATGACATAAGATAAGACTATTCATACAATACGCTATAATAGCATTATCCCGAACCACATGCCCTTCACTTTAATGTTGAAAGCTTATGCATCGAGCAGTAATGGTTTTAATTTCACTTATTTTGAAACATATTTGAGAATTGCTACTCTGATCTTGATTCCTTTAGAAAGAGATTAACCAGCCCAAATATCCAGGAAATTTTCAGATACCTGTTCTAGAGTGTTTTTCATCTTTTCCTAGAACGCACTGTATAAAACATTCCTCCGGAAATCCAACATTTCCAACATTCTGAAAAGAAATTATTTCTCTTTTTATTAAATCCTGCCAAATAAATTAAGAGAATGAACTTCAATTTGATTATTCAATCCATTAGCTTTCATATCTTGAAAATCTTGTTTAACACATTCTTTCAAACCGAAAGAGACCAAGCTGAATTTTGGTCTCATGTGTTTGCTCGCTTCCCACATCCTGAGCCATGGAACAATTTGGTTATATTTAGCTACATATAATTTAATGGAGAGAAACAAACTCCCCGTCACCCAGTGTCCGTATATGAGTGCCTATCAGAACACTAATCGGTTGACAGGCCTACGGCCTATGCTCCCATACAAGCCCATCTCTGTCTTCCCTTCCCGACTATTAAGTTGGCAGCTTCTTCCTCATTGGCTTTCTCAAACTTCCAAAGTGAAGCAGAAGAACAATCTTTGTACTGATGTTGGGATATTTAATTGTATTTATCTTAGTTCGTGTCTTCAAAATTTTCATTCTTTTTTTACTGTGTATTATTTATTTTTCTCAGACCCCTATTTCGTTTTCTTAAAATACTTTCCAGTTAATAACTAGTGGCGTTATTTCCAAGCTAATGTGAGAAAAACAAGATAATACATAGTTTAGGGCTCAGGAGATGAGAAATGCTTAAAAGGGTTGATTAGTTACTGCAGATGAGAATCACATGTATCTGATATAAGGGACTGAGTTTTCTTTTTCTTTGGCTGAAATCAGCCTTCTAACTTCTGCTAAGATGGTTACCTGATTTCAGGACCCCAAAAGGAGCTTTTTAAAAGTTCCTTGTTTTACCTCTCTTGGAAAGAGCACTTTTAATTACTTAGCAAGCTGATTCTATTGTGTAACTTTGAAAAACAACACTTAAAAGACCTGATTCTCTTGCTTCAGTTACAGATGAATGAGAGAATGGACAGACTGTTGTTTGATGTGAACACTGTTGGCTCTGTGTGTGTGGCAGTCTGCAGAGTGCCCCTGCGTCTTTTGTGTGCCCAGGGACCAGCGCGTCCGAACACACGCACGGCGATCAGACCCAGGAGGGCCGGCTGCGGTTCGGTGGCCTGGTTCCTGCGAGGGCACCGCCTGGCAAACAGCGCTTGCCCTCTAGTTGCCATGTTCATGGCTGCCCTGAACTAGAACTGCTCCAGAACACCCTTCCTCTGTCATAGTGGCTTCCGTACAAAAAAGGCAAAGCTTTTTACCTTAGCAATTTCCTTATTTTGCAAAAGCTACCAAAATGAATACTTCAGTGTGGGCTGCACCTCACTAGGAAATGCTCTCGAGTTGTAACGAGAAAAGCGGGTGTTCACGAGCAGCGCTGTGCCTCCTGTCAGCGGTCAGGCGTTCCCTTCTAGGCTTCCATGTAAAAGACCACAGGTCCCGCTAACTCCAAGTGAATGACACCTGCTATGCAAACATCTGCATCCACATCCCATTCCCCCCCCTCCCACCCCAGGTTTATCATCAGCGGTATTCTGAAAAATTTAAGAAAAAAGAATCATTGAGTAGAAAATGAACATTTTAAGTTACTTTCCTTTTTCATTGCAGTAAGTTAACATGTAAAATGTTTCCCCTTGAAATGTAACATACCTATATATTACATATGGAATAAAATATAGGAAACTGGATTATAAGGATATAAATGCATCAAGACTCTGGTGTCACGAAAGCACAAGAATGAAGCTGGAGATGGTCCCAGAATCCAAGATGTCTCAATAGCCTTTTACATCAGTTTCTCTATTTTTGGTATTTTGCATAATATATGGATTCTTAATTCAAATGAGGGAAAGAAAGTTTTCTCACTCAGCCCCACTTCCTTTCTTCCAGCTCCTACCTTTCCCTGGCTGAGGAGGTAGTTGACATTCTCTACCATTTATTTTCATGAATTGTTTAATGTCCACGGTTTCACTCATGAAAACAGGTTCTGGGATGAAGGAGTTAATTAGCGCAAACAGTGCTAATTGACTACAAAAGAAACCTTATGAGCAGCCTCTCCCCTATAAACACTGACCGATTAGATGTTCTGTAATTCCATGTATTATGCATAGTACACGCTATAAATGTAAATGTAACGCTTGTTAAGAGAAGTGCAATTTATTGTACAGTGTCCCAACAAATGTTTACTTTTATAATCGTTATGAACTTGAATTGGATTAGTATTTTGTTCTCGTGTGAATGAAGCCTTGTGAAATAAACAAATGCAACCAAGAAGGTAACAAGGTGACTGTTTTTGTGAGCCAGTGATGTTTTCGATGCTTTGTGTTGCCCCTTTTGCCCCACTAAGCAGTAATAAACATTTGTTCTCAAGTCCATCTATGTCTTGTTGATTTTTTCCTAATTGGTTTTATTCTGACTCGCGGGAACCCAGAGTTTATGTAACGCGCCTTATTTGACACTAGGCTCTAGCCCGCCTAGGAAGGAAAACGATGCAGGGGCCCCCTGCAGAGTGACGTTGGGGTACAGCAGCCCTGCCAAACTGGAACCAGAAAAGCCGGTGCTCCTGCCCCCTGTCACTGCCAGACCCAATGAGCAGAGAGAGGGATTGAATCTTTGTGAGCGTTTTATTCAGATTGCCGGCGATCTGACAAGACGGTGGGTTTGCACCCTGACAGACCGCCTTAAATTCCATTTAAAAATGGCCCTTTTTATAAGGAGAACAAAATATAGGGAAGAGATTTGGAAGTCACAGAAAAGTTAATTAGACCAAAAAACCCTAGCATGCTTGCCCTGGGCGCCGGTCTTTAGCTGTGTCCTGGACGGTGGGCACCTCACCCTGGATGGAGTACAGTGGCTCAGATACCATCTCTGCGGCTTGCAGTCCTCCTGAGGCACAAAGGTGGGACTGCTTATGGTCTCCTGGAGTCAGGGTGGGTCCTACCTTCAGTTCCTAGAACAAAAGCTTTTACATGCGCTGGATACTAAACTTAGTCGCTATTACTTGAACTAAAACTTTTCAACTTTCGAGTCCCCCATCAAAACGTCCAATTTTCCTTTAACTAAAGAGTCCTTGGTTACAAGTAACAGAAACTCTGAAGCTAGTTTACTAACAAGACAGTTAACTATAAGGAAATGGGGATGTTTTCATCATAGACACCAAATGCCAACAGGCTGAACAGGCATTGGGGACAAGCGACTGTCCTCATAGTCGCTCTTGCTTGCCTTGCCTGGTGATGCTCATCTGTTGCTGCTTCTCTCAAAAACAAGCTGGGATTCCCCGATTCTAAGAGATGAACTTTCAGGTCTACATTTCCTCTCCACAAATGACAGCAGAGGTGGGTTAGCATGTCAGTGTTCCAATTTCAAAATCTTACAAAAATCTGATGGGCCAATTCTGCATTTCGGTGCAACAGGTAACTCCAAAGGTTCTATGCAGTTTGTTACCCTGTAGGACATCCATTAGTTTGTACCTAACTTTGCAACCTTAAACTAACATTCCACTGTTGCCTGTAAGTCCCCAGCTATGAAAATGCACTTTGATAGTTTTAACATATTATTGGTTCTCTCATATTTGTCACATGTTCATTTCCTATTTGCATGAGTCTCGATTTCACCTTTTTTAAAGTATACTTTAACAAAGCTATTATTTGGGTTTTGGGGGGCTATATTTATTGATTATATGTATAGAGACAAAGATGTGTTGATCCTACACGCGCCACAGCAGGAACACAACCAAAGCCTGCGCGACCTTTCTGTTACTGGTGGCGCCGTCACGTGGCCAGAGCAACCCTTCGCGGCCTGTATGACGCCACCACGTCGCTAATGCTCCATCGCGGTGACGTTTCTCGAGCGCCAGAACCCACTGAAAATCAAATTGTTCTCTTCAGGGTCCTCCATACTTTACGTCTTCGCTCTGTCCCTTTTTAACAACATAAATAGGCTACTCCTTCTACCCTTTTTGGCCTTATCTCGCGGAGTGTCACAGGTTATCCCTAGGCAAAATGGCTGCATAGCATGCCCGCGTCCTAAAGGCGACGGAAGTAGCTGATTCTGTAGTCAACTTCCGATGTGTATCCCGAAAACCGGTACGTTGTTTCCGGGGTTGGAGAAAGTCCACAGAGGCAGCGGTTCCGAGTTGCGACTGCGCAACCGGAGCAAACGCGGTCAAAGTGTAAGCCTACAGTTGTCCGGGCGGAGAGGAAGTGGCGTAACTATTCTCGCGAGAGTTGAGCGTTGCTAGAAAGCTCGGCGGGCGGGGCGGGACCAAGCTCAGCGGGGAGGGGCGGCACTAGGGAGGCGGGCGGTGCTGGGAGGTGGGGCTGTGACGCTACACTCGCGAAGGTTCCAGAGGCGCCGCGCGCGATAGGCGGGCGGTGGTGTCACGCAGGGCAGGCAGTGCGCACAGGCTGCGGGCGTTGCGAGGCGTGCGGGTCCTGCGAATCGAGCGGGTGCGCCGTTTCCTGTTTGTTTCCCCCACGGGGCTGCATCTCGTGCCTTGCCCGGCCCAGGCCGACCATGGCTTCAGCTGTGGAGGAGGTAAGGGTCCCGCCTCATCCTCAGTCGGCAGTGCTAGAGCTTCCCGCCCCGTAACGTGTGCTGAGTGCCCTGCGGCCGCCTCCCCGGCGGCTTCCTGCGTTGTCGGGTCCGCGCGCTTGCTGGGCCTCCCACCCGACCCCCTGCAGCGGCTCCGACGGGCCTCGGCTTCCGCGGGAAAGTTGCCGATGGCCGCCGCCGCTCGGCCCGGTGGAGGGCGGGGGGTCCCTCCCCGCGCGCGGCTCGGCGGAGCGGGCTGGGTCGGGGTTAGGCAGCGTGGACAGCGGACCGAGTGAGCTGGTCGCCTTCCCGCGCCCGTTGTACTAGCCTGGGGACGCGACGCTTCTTTCGATTGGGGCTGATGGCAAACCCGGAGTGTCATTCCAGGGTGGCGGGCAGCCGGGAACCTTTGGTCCCAGCACTTCATTCTCCCAGGCGTGTTTTCTCCACACACACGAGTAGCCGCGGAATTGGGGACACGTTGCTGTGCTCCTTTGAGCCACAGGAGTGCCCGTGGCATGGGGTTTGTAAAACTGTCTGGCGACCAGCCAACTGCTCTATGCGTTAAAAAAAAGTAAAAATTGGGAAGTTAGTATAACTAGTGGCGGGTATAGCCTTTTTCTCCTATAGGATCTATAATGTCTGAACGGGGCCGCTTGCTTGACTCTTGGGGGACCTCGTTGGGCGGGTACACACGGGGAATAACAACGCTGGGGCCGCCCTTCTCCTGGTGGAGGTAGGATGTCAGCATCACCGTGCAGTGCTGGGTCCCCACCTTTGTTTCCTGGGGATCTTTTCCCCAGTGTGACCAAAGCTCCGATGTGACTTTGTAAGTCTCATAAGCTGCTTTAGATGAAGCAAAAGCGTGCGTATATTTAAGTCTCCTCATTCCGGATAACCCGACACAAGTTGAAGTTACGAGTTACAGGCGGGCCTGGGGCGCCGCGGACAGAATCTCTCGGGCCCGCGCGCGGGCGTCGCGTTAGGATCGCGCGGAGTCCCCCCTCCTCCTCAGTGAGTGCGGGGCTCCACCGTCGTCCGTCGAGGTCCTTCAGAATTAACATTTGGGGGCGCCTCCGGGTTTTTGTTTTGTTTGAGATAAAATTCAGTGTTTTTAATCAAGTTAAAGCGTACAAATCAGTGCGTTTTCGCGTGTTCAGTGTTGTTGAGGAGTCACCACTAGTTCCGGAACATTCTCATCCCCCCACCGCCCGAAGAAACCTGTTGGGTCCATTGAAAGGCTGCCGCCCGCCCAGCACCCCGCCCAGCGCCTGGCACCCGGCGCCCCCGTCCGCCCACCGCCTCCGCGTTTGCCGGTCCGGCCTCGCGCAGGTGGAGGCCGCCGCCGGCGGCCCTTGGCTTTGCCGTTTGGCTCCTTCCCGCGTTGCGCGGTGTTGGCAGGTGTTCCGCTGGGCGGCTTGCGTTCCCTTTTGACGGCTGAGTAATGCTCCGTGGCAGGGACATAGCACGTCTCCTCCTCAGTTCCTCCGTTGGGGGACGTTGGGATGCTTTCTGCTGCCGGGCTGACACGAACAATTCTGCCGCGAGTACCTTCGTCCACCTTTTCAGCGGGCCCGGGTTTCAGTTTCCTGAAGCGTCTAGCCGGAGTGGAATGGCGGCATCTCGTGGTGCTGACTCTCGTGGAGAAGCTGCCGAGCCCCTTTCCAAGTGGCCGCACCATTTCCCGGTCCCCCGAGCAGTGTCTGGCGTTCACCTGCTGTTTCGTGGATGTTCTTGTTGGGTTGGCGTCCTAGCGCCGGTGAAGTGGGATCGCACGGCGGGTCGGATGCGCGTGTCCCCGGCGTCTAGCGGAGGGAGCTGGCGGCTTCTCCCGCGCTTGGCGGTGCGGCCGTGGGGGCATTTCTGGAGAAATGTCTTGAGGCGCTTTGATTTTAGTGCCTCCCAGCGCGGGATTTGAAACTAGATGAGAACTGAATGTGTTTGTGGGTGGGGTGAAAGTATGTGACTGCCTAAGGAAAACGAGTGAATGCCAGGACAAGTGAGGTGAGAGGCTGCGGTCTCAGGCATCCAGGCACGGGGGGATCGCGCTCCGGGGGCCGCTCTGCGCGGGCAGGAGCCCCAGGGCCGCCTCCCACGGGCCTGCTTCCCACGGGCCTGCTTCCCACGGGCCTGCTGCGGTCTCGCACTGCCGAGCTGGAGGCGGGAGCCCGCGCTGGTGGGAGGGGCCGGGCGTCCCTTCATCCTCGGGGTCTCTCCGAGTCCGCTGGAAAAAGCATTCCTATTCCAGCCAAGGGGAAAACCCCTCGTTTAGACTTGATACATTGTTTGAACAATTTCGCCCAGGAGCAGATACGCTAATTTTATATTTCGGTATTTTATCATGTTGGTATTAGAATCAACGTGGAAATTTTAAACCATTGTAATAAAAAACGGTTGCTTTGCCTGGCTGGTGTGGCTTCAGTGGACTGAGCACCGGCCTGTGAACCAAAGGGTCGCCAGTTCTATTCCCAGTCCGGTCACAGGCCTAGGTTTGAGGGCCAGGTCCCCGGTGCGGGGCCTGCGAGAGGCAACCACACATTGATGTTTCTCTCCCTCCCTTTCCTTCTGTCTAAAAATAAATAAAATCTTTTTAAAAATTAAAAAGATTGCTTTGAACTAAAGCATCTCGGCGCTATGCATCCGGGATGGGTTTGGAATGTGTTTTGTCTTAGTAGTATGAGTTTGGGGGTTGTGTAGAGTATGCACAGGAGACTGGGCGCAGTTGAACTTTTTATACTGTTATCAGTTACAGATGGTGAGGCAAAGGCATCTGAGCTAAATGAGATACAAGACGGGTAAAAGAAAGCATTCATTTAAGAAAGCATTCATTTTTCTGTTACTGCATTTTATAAGACTTAAACATTAGGACTTTGAAACTCCAGACACTATAGAGAGCTATTAAGTTTTAAAAGATATTGAGTCTTTTATATGCTCTCAGGCTATATAATGTAAGTATCTTTCTGTCATATTGCTAGTATCAAGCCAGTATGTAAAGTTATTTTAAGAAAATCAAATCCCTTTTTTATAACCTGCCAGAGGGTAACTGGGAAAAGTTTTTTTAAGCCTATTAATTTTGTAACAGTGTCTAACTCTTGCACTTAAAAAAGTGTTGGCTCTACCTCTAGAAAGTGGAAGTGGACTTAAGTGGGTGAGGTTCACGCATGAGGAAAGAACAGGTGGCTTGTGTGATGACCAGGAGTGTGTTGGATTGTTTGCCCAGGTTTTTTGTATCCTGTACAACCAAGCCCCAGATATTTGACCGTACGATTAAGCGTGGAGCTTCAGAACAAGATCTTTTCTTAAAAGCAGAAATGTGTCTTTTTATCTTTTGTCTTTAAAACTTAAAATCTTTATGTGTACTGTCTGGGTATTTGGTGAAGAACAGTCACTGGCAGGAGTTAGGCTCGCTCGGTCAGGCTGCTGTGGCCTTTCGCCGCACTCAGCACGCGCTCACTCATCTGACGTGTCAGGCGTGGGGCTGGGCATTATAAGATCTGTGGGCTCCTTTTCAAAAAAATAAGATTCTTCATCTCAGTTCATAAGTCACAAAAGTATCTTGTAAATAAAATGTTCTGTAACAAAGGTGGTTAACAGTTTACCAACTGGAAAATGTAGGCTTGATACTTTACTATTGTTAGTTTAATATTATTAAGTTTTCCTTTAAAAAAAGAAAGAAAGAAAAAGTTGGTTTATTTACAATTCAGTAGGCTGTAAGAAAGAATTCAAGTTGCTACCTGACCGTAGAAAATTTAAATGAATCTCTTAGTACTTAACTTTTATTTCAGTAAACAGAAATGACCAGTAGGCATATCAGATTTTTATCTTACTTACCATAGTTAACTTATCTTTTATTTTAATACAGCTACAGAAAGATCTAGAAGAGGTGAAGGTGTTACTGGAAAAGGCCACTAGAAAGAGAGTACGTGATGCTCTTACCGCTGAAAAATCCAAGGTTGAGACAGAAATCAAGAACAAGATGCAGCAGAAATCGCAGAGGAAAGCAGAACTTCTTGACAATGAAAAGCCAGCTGCTGTGGTTGCTCCCATTACAACGGGCTACACAGTGAAAATCAGCAATTACGGTACGACACGCTCCCCTGCACCCAGCTCTTTCTGCCCGTGAGCAGCTTGAGTCCTCAGTAGTGGCCAGCTAACAGACTTAATTTTTAAAATAGTTTTTGAGTATTCGTTTTGGTGGTTTGAAAGAGAGGTCCTATCACTTAATAAGATGCTTTTTAAGAAATGGAAAAAGGAAAGGATGCATTCTACAAGCTGATTTAGTATAATGATGAGTAGCAACAAGAAGGAACCTACTCCGTATATATGGAATGCAGCTTTTTGTTTTGATTTTCATCCTGCTTTGCATTTCACTTTGCCAGACAACCACCATTATTAACTGAGGAAAGATCTAGTTAAAGTCAAGACACATTTTTGAGCATCTGACATGTGCCACTATTGTGCTTGGACTTGTGGACACACAACAGTGACCAAAACCCAGTCCCAGCTCATGGTGACACAGGCACAGCTAATACCATAACAATCTTACAATCCCATTTGCCCTCAATAGATCGTAAAGCTCTCGTTTTGGAAGCAGTGCAACTTAAGTCTGAGCAACGAGCTCTGAGGAGGACGGGGCAGCCGTAGGCTTCTTTTTGCTCAGAATATCTAGCACATAGTAAGTATTGGGCTGGCCAAAAAGTGCGTTTGGTTTTTTCTGTAAGGTGGCTTTCATAGCGCTTAGTTGTCTTTAACTTCACTTGAAATAATTTTTCAGACTGTATTGTGACAGCTGTCATATCAGCATGTATTCTTTAAAAAAGTCAAAATTGGTCAGTTTTTGTGTGGCCATTTTAATATTGAAGATAGAAGAAAATAAGCAAACCTTTTGGCATATCATCCTTTATTATTTCAAGAAAGGTAGGAAAGTAACTGAAATGCAAAATAAGATTTGTGCAGTGTAAGGAGAAGGTGCTGTGACTGATTGAATGTGTCAAAAGTGGTTTGCAAAGTTTTGTGCTGGGGATTTCTTGCTGGACATTGCTCCAGGGTTGGGTGCACCAGCTGAAGCTGACAGCAATGAGACCGAGACATTAATTGAGAACAATCAGTGTTCTGCCATGTGGGAGACGGCCAGCATACTCAGAATATCCAAATCAATGAAGTTATTGGTGAAAATGAAAAAATGTGTCTTTTACGGAAAAAACTAAATGGACATTTTGGCCAACCCCAATATTTTGCGTCTTGTCATAGTGAAAAGCAGTGCGTATGTGTCGTGCTTAAGAGATGCACTATAGGAGTTAGGCCATGTACTTGGTTGATACAGGAAAGTGGTCTGAAAGTGGGAGGGTTATGGCCTGCTAACCAGGAACCCAGCTCTGTGTTCAGGGAGAACCCTAACGTGGAAGGGTTGGATGAATGGGAAGAAACCGGATGAAGGTCTATAGCACACTGTAGACTTATTTTTTTTTTTTTTTTAATTAACAGTTTTATTTTATGGAACAAAACGGAGGAAGTGTTAGGGGCATGTATTTTTTATGTACACAATAAACATATTTCCTATACTATGCTTTTTATATGAAGTTTGTATATTTTTACGTTAACAAATCACCTAGTTTAGAAACTAAGGTAAATAGTTTCGCAGTGTATACTGAACTGTCATTTAGTGGATGATGTTAGGTCAGTCAGATTGGCAGATTAGGGTGAGTCGGACTCTAAATTTATATTTCACATTTTCAGAGAAGGGAATTGAAGAAGCTAGAGTTGGTTGTGTGTGTTGAACTGCTTAGAGAAGTAGAAATGATTATGGAATTAGTACTGATGTTTTAACAATCCAGCTGAGTGGAGAATTACTAATATTTAGGTATAGGACAAAATTATTTTCATAAATAGGGGAAATTAACTACTATTAAAGAATGTATCTAAGAATCATATTCTTTATTTTGAGGAATAAAAGGAACATGGACTTTGTGTTCAGTAAACATGGATTTGAATCCAGTTCTACAACTGACTGTCTAATTTTCAGTAGATTACTTAACTGCTTTGAAGCACAATTTCTGCACCTAGAGAATTTCTTACATTTTAATTTTTTTCATGTTTCTACCCCCGGATTTCCATTTTACCAAGTTTTGTTACACGCTGTGGGCGCTTACTGTTGGAGAGAGAGCACCCGACTTTACTCGAGTCCCGTTGTTTGTTGTTCTCGTTACTAGGATGGGATCAGTCAGACAAGTTCGTGAAGATCTACATCACCCTAACTGGTGTCCATCAGGTCCCCGCTGAGAATGTACAGGTGCACTTCACAGAGAGGTGAGTTCCCGCTGCGGGGGGACGGTGGTCTTCCTGTCGACCTGACTTTGATGGGAGCCCTGCTCTTTGCAGTTTCCGAAAATGCCCAACTTCAGAGTCCATGTCCCTGCACACCTGCTCTGACGGGGTGCGTCTTTCTGGGACGGCCGAGGGCTCGTTCGGAAACGCCACTGGCCGCTGTTTTCCGCAAGGCTAGAGGGCTCCTGCCTAGAACCAGGAGGACAGTGTTTGCTGCTCTGTTGCAGGTCATTTGATCTTCTGGTGAAGAACCTAAGCGGGAAGAATTATTCCATGATTGTGAACAACCTCTTGAAACCCATCTCTGTGGAAGGCAGTTCAAAAAAAGTAAGTTTGCTTTTTTGTCATATTGTGAAACCTCATTAAATTGTACCTGGCCAATGTAGAATTGAAGTGAACTAGAATTAATCAATCCTCCATAACAGGGACCAGCAGACTACAGCATGTTGCTTGTCTTGTTTGAACACAGCCATGCGTGTTCGTGTGCACGTCTGTGCCGCAGCGGCAGAGTTCCGCAGCCCCAGCAGGTCGTGGGGCCCGCAGAGCCTGCAGTTATTTCCCCTCTGGTCCTTCCCAGAAAAGGTTTGCCAACTCCTGGTCTAGGAAAAGAGAATATTATAAGAATATTGTAGTAAAGTCAGGAGAGGAATAAGCATTCTAAATGGTTGTGGTGGGGCCTGAGTTTTAATGCCAGTCTTGCCACTTACTGTTCGTGACCTTCGGCAGCTTCTTTGTACAGTGGGAATAATAGGTTATTTCACAAAGCTGAAATGATATGCTGAAATGGAGTATCTATAACGTGTTTAATGGTAGCCCTTATTAGAAGCTCTATGTGGTTTTGGTATGTAAAAGGACTTAAGTACCTAACCTAGTTGGAGTTAGTGGAAGCTATAAAAATAACCTGTGTTAAAAAACTGTCATTCACACTTATTCAGATAATCCCTCTTTTCTACCTAATTTAAATGAGGTTAATGCATCTGGTATATAGACAATAGACGTACCATTCTGCCATCTTATGTTTATGTAGAACTATTTAGCAGCTTAAAGGTAGTGTTAGAATATTATTTATCTGTTAGCGTGTGTCTCACTGCTCACCTTTTGTCTGCTAATTCTGTAGTTGCAGGAACACTCAAAAGACTACCAGTGCTGCCTCACACGATTGGGTTTTCCGCCTGCTTCTGACCCCCTCACTCTGCTACTCCCTCCTTCACCAAAATCCAGCCACTCCTCCTTTCTTCTTCTCAAACACCAGAATCATCCCATCTCGGAGCTTTCTCGCTTGCTGCGCCAGTTGCCCCCGAGGCCCTCTCTCCTGGACCTCGGAGAGGGCTCCCAATGAGGGTCCTCCCCTGGCTCCCAGTAGCGCCCTCTTTGTTTTTGAGAACGCTGGTATTTGAAGGTGTTCTAGCGTTAGCTGTTGTGGTTTTTCTCCTCCACCAGCCTTTAGGCTCTGGCCTATTACCGAAAGGCTTTAGTAGCACCTAAAATGGGTCTCACACATAATAGTAACGATTAGTGAGTAACGGCTTGTCTCCTAGGCACTCATGCCTGCCTCCGTGCGCTCTAAGTTGTGCCTGTTTTACCACTTCTCTCCCAGGTCAAGACGGATACAGTGATTATCTTATGTAGGAAGAAAGCAGAAAACACACGGTGGGACTACCTGACTCAGGTTGAAAAAGAGTGCAAAGACAAAGAGTAAGTTCACTTTCATTTCTTTAAGAATTTTAATGTATTCTTTGCTGGGATTACAGATTTTTAATGGCTTGTCTTTGGAAAACAGTTGTAGAGTCTGTGAGTTGACCATTTACCTCTCAGAGCCCCGACCGACCCAGCTATCTTCGCATCTGCTCCAGCTGGCAGGACCGTTGGGGTGTCCAGCACATTGCTTTTGTGGCTCCCTGTGCTGGCTCTTAAAGCTGGGCCTGTGGCGCCTCCTGGAGATACGGTGCCCATCCCCAGGGATTCCGCTTCAGTGGTTTGTGGGAAACCTAGGTGCCCTCAGGGCTTTTGAGTTCTGCAGACGGTTCTGAGAAGGTGGCTGGAGAGTTCACTGTCACTGATGGAGAGTGGAAAAGACAGAATACTTTTCTCCTACTTTATGGCGATTCTAGAAAGTGTTTATTCGAAGACTCCCATGTTAGGTCGCACCTCGCTGTGCACTGTCATATGCCACAAGGAGTCAGCTGGCACCTGCCTTTCCTCTCTCCTGGGAGGGCCGGCATGCACATGGGGTGGGTCGACTGGAGTTAGATGCTTTCTGCGGAACGGACTGTAAGTCTAGGATCAGTTACCTGTGCACAGGACCCTGCCTTGTTACTGTATATCCCTAGTGTCCAGCGCACAGCCCAGCACTCAGTAAATGAGGTGAGGGAAGAAATCACAGTTTGGCCCAAGTTGGACCCTGAACTGAAGGTGCTGGCTGCATTCGGGGCTGCTGTTCCGACCATCAGGCCCAGACCCGCATACCTCAGGCCTAAGAGGAAGCTTGTCTAATTTAAAAGCGTCTGAATGTCCGCATGTGTCCGTGTGTGTGTGTGTGTGTGTGTTTCTCTCAAAGTATTTTTTCAAATAATATGAGAAAACCTGCTTTTAAAAAACTGAGAGAGTTCAGAACAGTAAATGCTTCTGTACTTGCTTTTTCTGCTAAAAGCCACCTAAAATCCCACTCGTCCAAATGGCCAAGATAACCTCTGGCCATTTTGAAGACCACCCTTTCATGGAACTAGTAAGATCATGTATGGGTGTATATTGCTTTCATTAAGATGGATTTGTATGTGCTGTATTTGTACATGCTGTATCGTGGGTGTCTTTGGATACTTGATATCTTCCCCTTATCTCCACTCCTCTACTTTCTGTGAACATGAACAACCTGATTTGTGTCTTTCCATGCTTAGCAATGAGGCATATAAAATTTCTGTCAGTAAATGGGATCATTTGTGTACACACACACACACACACACCCATTTTTAGATGTATATGTATTTCTCAATTGTTTTCTCTCCCAACAGAAAGCCTTCCTATGACACTGAAACAGACCCTAGTGAGGGATTAATGAATGTTCTAAAGAAAATTTATGAAGATGGAGATGATGACATGAAGCGAACCATTAATAAAGCCTGGGTACAATCAAGAGAGAAGCAAGCCAAAGGCGACACAGAATTTTGAGACTTGAAAGCCCTTTTGGGAACTGTGATATGGAAATATTGATGTTTTCAATAAGGACACGTTGGTGAGCTGCACAGATAAACTTAACCGATGACTTTACAGAGCCTTCTTCTAAGTAAAGGCAGTGAATTCTCCTACTGGAGGATTTATTTAAATAAAATATGCTTATTAAACACTTCCTCTACAGATGGTTTCCATAGCAAACTGGTCATTTTGTTCAAGAAAGGGTGATACTGCATTCTCATGTGAAATGTAAAGAAGCAAGTCTTGCCTAGTGAAAATGCCATATAGCATTTTTGTTCAGCTGAGAGGTAGAAACAAGTTACTGCTTATTAAGTTCCTGAAATCAGTTCTCACCAATGTAACAATAAGTAAAAAAAAAATAAACCCTCAATTTTTGCATAAAATGCAAGTTTGTACCTGTGCTTCAAGGTTGCTGTAGAGATGTTGATCTCTTTGTTAGCGGCGTTAAGTAATGCATATCCCTACCTTATGGTGCCCTAATGATCCAATCAAAATGTCTTTCTCTAGGTTTAAATATATCTGTTGATGAATAAATTGAAACTAAATCTGATCTTGACAAGAACATCTCTGTATAGTACCAATTAGTGAGTGTTGCCATGGATCAGATAGCTTACAGAATCAATAACCATCAGCCAAAAACAAGTGTGAAAAAATCCATCTTTTCCTGTTTTCAATAAAGTTAGGTTTTTATTTGGTGGCATGGCTTTACTCTCTGTTTATCCAGAAAAAGTTAGGCTTTGGGAGGGATTGTTTATTTTAGAGGGAGTCACTGACCCTAAAAACAGGAATAAGCCCAAGGTGCCTGTGATCTCCATCACTAGGTTGTATTGGAGGTGTTTGCCAGCGCAGCCAAGGTAAGAGGAGCAATTACACACATAGAGGAAAAACCCAAGGGAATAAACCAAAGGTGTAACGAGAATTTGGTACACGTGGTAGAATAAAATTTGGTAGGTAGTATTTAAAGTGAACAAACAGCCTATGTATAGGACAGTTGTTAGTACTACTGAACACATTATTAAACCTTGATAAATAAAGCTGTGATGCTGACACATGAATAAGACCAAAGGAACAGAATAGAAAGAGACCCAATGCAGAAGTTTTATTGAGCTTCACTTTATTGCACTTCACAGGTATGTTATTTACAAATTGAAGGCAAGACTCTCCACCAGCAGAAAGATTACAACTCACTTTATTGCGATACGCACTTTATTTCGGTGGTCTGGAACCGAACCTGCAATATTTCCAAGGTATGCCTGTAATAGCATTTCAAAACAAGTGGAGGTGACCTTTTATTGAAATAACCAAAAATAATATATACATTCCAAACAGATGAAAGCTTTAAATATAAAAATGAAGCCATGTGAGTTCTAGAAGACATGAATAGAACTCCATTATAATCTAAGAGTGAGGGAAACCTACACTAGGTGACTTGAAATCTAAAAATAACAAGTCTAAATACTGTTTCATTTTAACTGCAATAAATGTTTACATGGGCAAATACACACGATAAAAGACACACAGAGAGGATTCCAAAATTAACGAGTTTACAGAGAAATGTTAAGTGGATTTTAACATGAAAAGATGCTCACCTTGTTTAGAAGAGAAATTTAAAAAACACTGTTTTTTCTTTACCTTTTATCGGAAAAACTCCAAAAGCTGAGCATACTGATTGTTGAAGGTATGAGGGAGTTTGTATAGTGGAATTGAATAAAGAGAATGAGGAGGTTAAAACCGTCAAGGACAGTTGCTAATCTCCACCAGAATTACGTGTGCATATATCATCTCACTCTGTTCTTCTAGGCTCTGTCCCCAAAGAGAATGCTGGCCAAAACTTGGGATGATACATGCAAAAGATGGGAACCACGCAAGCGTCAATTAGTAGAGAATTAGCTGAATAAACTAGGGTATATCCACACAGGGAGCACTTACAGTCACAAAAAGAAATGAAGGTTATTTCTGTATCCCAGTGAATCAAATGCACCGGGATACAGAAGGTGGAAAGGCGGAGTGCAGAGCACCGTTCATGGCGTACTTAACCGTCCTCGCGTTAGAGCAGGTGGCAGTGTGAATGCGCACACATACATGTATTTGCTTGTATTTCAAAAAGAAAGTGGAAGAATAAATCCCAGTAATAAAATTGGTTACCAGTTGGAAAGAAAGGGGAAGGTGGAAGCAGGATTCCTGTGAATGTACCTTTTTCTTTAATTTTGACTTGAGAACTGTCTAGAATTTAGTTTAAAAGCTAATTTAAAAATAACCCTGAAATTTGAAAACCATATCAAATTGCTACAGACATGTTGCTTTCAAGTGACTTTAGAACATGGTATTTTGACTGTCCACTGGCTAGTGAGTTTGAAACTACTGTAGATTGATGTAATGAGCTAAGATTTTTACAAATACAAAATCAATACAAACTTACTATTTTTATCGTGGAAAGATAACCATTTCTTAGCAAGTCCAACCAAAAGGGCCTGAAAAGCCTCAGGCACTGGCAGTTTGGAATTCGGTAGCAGTGAGCAGCAGCATGCTCAGATGTGGTCTCTACACTGTTTCCTACTCAGAGGACCAGGGACTTTGGGAAAAATAGTCTGAGGCAGGAAATACCAAAGATTAGCCTGGGTTATGTCAGAAAGCGAAGAAAGGTCAGCTGCCCTCTATCAGGGCAACAGGGTAAAGGGCCCAACAGTGGAGGGTTGGGGCAGTGGAAGGATTAATATGAGCCTCAAAATAATGTCTGGAGTGGATTGAAACAGAAAACCTACAAGTTCATGATAGTGAAAAATTATTTGTCACCTTTGGAAATTGCTAGAGCACCATTTACTCTGAATGTTGATAAAAAATCATGTATTTACCTAGACCTTAAAGAAATCTTGGAGAGTAATCAACTGTTGATAAGGGAAAGTTCCTTAATGAAAAATTCCAGCTAATGCAGAAAAACTGGTGGCATTTAGAACATCGCCACTGCAATCCATAATGTTAGAGGACAAGTTAATAAATGGTGAACTTCAAGTTCAGGGAGCAAGCTGAGCCCACTGATAAATCATCTCAGTTGGACAGCCAAGTATGTGCCTTCTGACGTGGTATGAAAGAGTACACACCATACTTGTGAAAATTCGTTTCTAAAAAATTGGACCTTTGTTTAGTGTCAAGGCTTTGGAAGTAGCAACCAGTTTTATAAGGACAGAAGAATAAGTTAAAGGACATGAAGAAGCAAACAGCCAAATGTTGGACACTTCTGCACGACAAATAACCGGCTCCTCCAACAAACAAAAAGACATGAAGAAAAAGAGACAAAGGAATCAGATATGGATCATGCTTGACTCCTAATTCAAACAAAAAGGTTGGGAGGTGTCTTACCAGGGAATGTCAGAAGTCAGCAAATGTGATGTTCAAGTTATAATTTGGCTAACACTAATTTCCAGTTGGGATCAGCTAGCATTCCAGTTTGTAAGTTGCCGTATAAACTTAGGAAATGAATCCAAGGTGTATCATGATAATTCCTTCTTATAACTTCACCAAGTTCCTGACTTTGCTCTCCAGCTGCATCAATAGGCTTCTCCTTCGGGATGATTCAGGCCTTTCAAACGTTGCACGACTGAAACCTGAACTTGGAGATCTTGTTTCCCAAACCCATTGCTTCTCCCTCTCCCCTACCCCCATTACCTCCTGTCTGCGAGTTGCTTTGTACCATCTATCTAGTCACCCTTACCAGGAACCCAGAGAGCCCTTTTCTTCCTTTATTAAAATTTTAATCTTTATTTTTAGAGAGGAAGGGAAGGAGGGAGAAAGGCAGAGAAACATCAATCAGTTGCCTCTTGCGCACCCCCAACTGGGGTCCTGGCGAACAACCTAGGCATGTGCCCAGACTGGGAATTGAACCAGTGGCCTTTTGGTTCACAGGCCTGGTGCTCAGTCCGCTGAGCCCCACTATTCAGGGCCAGAGAGCCCTTTTACTTCTTACATATAAGCGATCTCTAAGTCTTGCCCAATTTTCTTTTCTAAATACTTGAATTTGTCCTATCATCTCCTTTGCTAATGTCACACCTTAGCTCTGGCCCTCGTCTACCTGGACAGCTAAGGCGGCATCCTGACAGGTTATCTCGCTGTGGCCTTTCCTGCTTGTTGCTGTCTACCACACGCCCATCAGCTACCTGTAGGGCAAGCTGATGCTGGCATTCCTTTGCTTAAAACTCCCCAACAGCTGTGTTTAAATTAGGTCTTAACTCCTTGCCATGCATGACATCTATGGTTTTTGGCCCTTGTGCTTTGTGTTTCTGACACATTGAAACTAGTCTCACTGTTTGATGCCTTTAAGCCTTCGCTTCCTGTTCTGTCTGCAAAGAATCTCATGCCTGGCCTCCCGATGGCAGTGCAGGTGTCAGCCCCAGGAGTGCTTTCTGGATGTCCAGGAGGTGCTGCCCTGCTGCGTGCACGCTTTTATCACTGCTCTGTTCACACTGCTGCTGCATGAGACAACCTTTTGCTACCTTTACTCATGCTGCTACAGGTGACAATGTGAATACAGAGACGTTACTGTTCAGCAAAACTTCTCTTTCGATAGATTTTCAGGGGCTTTGTTCTAAGGGCCCCTGAAGACGGAAGAAAACTGCTTCTGCCATTTGTTGGCCATCTCATGAAGTTGGGCATCCGGTAATCAGACATCAGCTCAACCTTCCAACGTACTGTTTCTCTTAACAGTGAAGCAATAGAAAAGTGAACTGCGCGGGCTAAGGAAGCCAGCCCCGCACTGCAGGTGTGCCGCAGATGTGCTGGCTCTGTGCCCATGAGCTGGACTGTTGCACACATGCTGCTTTAGGAGAGAACGCCCTTACATACCGGAACGCTTGGGGGCCGCTAGAAGGCTAAACTTGAAGGAGAAGGCAAGCATACAGAGCCTGTTTTCACAGAAAATATTTTTTATTACTCTGTACCACACATGAGAGCAGTATGTTTAATTTAGTCCAACAGAAAGACACTTTACTGACAGAATGAACCATCTAAATGTTTTCATTGAAAATTTAAAAGTAATGACATTAGGTAGATTAGACTCCTGTACTAGATGCCTATTAAAAGGGTTTTTGTCTTAGAAAAGTCTCTCTCTGTGGCAGCCCGTTTCTCAGGGAGCTCAGTAGGTTCTGGAGCGGATCACCACATTGCTCGCTGGACCCCAGACAGCTGCCCGTGGTCAGCTAAGTGACGGAAGACAATACGGCTAAGCCTCCAACGCCGTTTCACGCCACGTGGACGGGATGTCATGACACACCGATTTCTGATTCTGACGGGACAGCTATCTCGGGGAAGGGCAGCAATTTCTTCATCAGCCACTTCCTAAGGGAAGTCACAACACATTAAACAGATCACATGAATTCTTTTAGTCTAGATGCTGAAGTCAGTAATTTGAGGAGGAGAACCACAAGCCAGAGTTTGGCCAAAGCACCTTGACCAACCACGGTAGGGAGCCCTAACCTTGAAGTAGCAGCAGACCAGGAAAGTGGCAAATGTCTGACGTGCTCCCAATATGACTTTTAAAAATTGAATTGAAACTTAACATGGACACATGAGAATCCACAGACAAGTGTAAAGCTCAATAACTTCACAGAGCACAGCCGTGCAGCCAGCAACTACATTAAGAAACATTATCAGCAGCACCCAGGCTGTACCTCTGCCTCCCTTCAAGTCACTGGCCTCCTAGCTAACAGCTAACCTGATCAATAACGCCACAGATTGTTTTTTTTGTGTGTGGAATTTTATATACATATAAACAGAGTATGCATTTTTCCTCCATCTGTTTGGTTTCTTCCACTCAGCAATGTTTGTGAGGTTCATCCATACTGTTGCATGTGTCAGAATTTGTTCATTCTCATTGGTGGAAATGGATCCATTCTACAGTTTCTAGTTTTGAGCTATTACTTTTATTGGACTGCTACATACATTCTTGTTTAAGTCACTTGGAAAATGTGAATGCATTTCTGTTGTCTTCCCCATGGGATTTTTCCCAGCGTTACTGAGATATAACTGACATAAAACACTGTGTAAGTTTAAGGTGTACAGCACGATGACTTGATACATGTACATACTGTGAAATAAGTGCCACAGGAAGGTCACTTAACACTGCCATCGCCTCACATAATTCCTTTTTTGTGTGAGAACATTTAAAATCTACTCTCTCAGCAGCTTTGAAGTATACAATACAGCATCGTTAACCAGTCACCGTGCTGTGCATTAGGCCCGCAGAACTTACTCATCTTGTAACTGAAGTCTGTGCGCTTGGCTCAGCATCTCCCATTTCCCCCGTTCCCAGCCTTGGTGACCATCGTCCTACCCTGTTTCTACGAGCTCTGTTTGTTTAGATTCCACGTATGAGTGAGATCACAGTGTTTGTCCTTTGTCAGACTTACTTCCCTTAGCATAATTGCCCTCAAGGTACATCCATGTTACTGCAAACAGCAGCAGTTCCTTTTCTGTGGCTGGTGTTGCACCGTGTCCGTGTGCGGGCACAGGGCCGCTCTCCTCACAGCACTCAGGCTGCCGCCATGGCCTGCTGTTGTGAATAATGCTGCGGTGAACTCGGGGGACACAGCCTTCTGTATCTAGGTATTTCATTTCCTCCAGGTAACACTTAGAAGTGAAATTGCTGATCACATGAGGTAATTCTAATTTTTTGAGGACCATTATACTGTGTTCCGTAGTGGCTGTATGAATTTACATTCCTACCAACAATGCATGTATCCATATCTCTTTGGGAAAATGTCTATTTAGGTTCTCCGCCCATTCTGGGGGAACTACTTTTTAAATTTACAGTCAACACAATATTGTATGTATTGTGTTTTAGGTTTACAACAGTGATTTGATATTTATGTACCTACAATGTGATCGCTACAATTAAGTCTAGTAACTGTCACCATATCAAGTTATTATAATAGTAGTGATTATATTACCTGTGTCTCTGCCCATTTTTAAACTAGATTTCTCTTGGGTTTTTTCTGTTTGTTTTTTTGTTTTTGTTTTTTTTGCTATTGAGTTTTGTGTGTTCCTTATGTTTTAGACATTAACATCTCATCAGGTATATGGTTTTAAATATTTTCTCGCATTCATTAGATTGCCTTTTCATGTTGTTTCTTTTGCGGTGCAGAGGTTTTTAGTTTGATGTAGTCCCACTTGTTTATTTTAGCTTTTGTTCCTTACATCTTTGGTGTCATACCTAAAAAAATTGTTGCCAAGACCAATGTGAAAGCTTTTTTATTATTTTTTTATTTCTAGGAGTTTTGCATTTTCAGGGGTTATTTCTAAATCTTTAACCCATTTCAAATTCATTTTTGTGAGTAGTATTAAGGGTCCAGTTTCATTCTTTTGCTTATGAATATCCAGTTTCCCTAACACCATTTACTAAAAAAACTATCCTTTCCCCTACTGAGTATTTTTGGCTCCCGTCAAATATTTGTCGATCATTTATGTGTGAGTTTTTTCCTGGACTCTTGACTGTGCTCCATTGGTGTATGTGTCTTTTTTTAATGCCAGTATTATATTATTTTGATTGTATAGTTTTGTTATAAAACTGGAAATCAGGAAGTGTGATGCCTCCCGTATTGCTCTTTCTTAGGACTGCTTTGGCTATTTGGGGATCTTTTGACATTCCAAATGAATTTTAGGAATATTTTATCATTTATTACCTTTGAGAAATGCCATTGGAAATTTGATAGTGATTGCACAGAACCTGCGGAGGGGTTTGTGCAGTACTGCCATTTAACAGTGTTGACTCTTCTGACCCATGGACACAGGGCATTTTATTTATGTCTTCAATCTCTTTCATCAGTATCTTAACAGTTTTCAGTGTATAGATCCTTCACCTTAAATTTATTCCTGGGTATTTCATTGCTTTTGATGCTATTTTTTTTTTTTTAATCCTCATCTGAGGATGTTTATTGATTTTAGAGAGAGAGGAATGGAGAGAGAGAAGCATCGATTGGTTGCCTCCCATACGTGCCCTGACTGGGGATCAAACCCACAACTCTAGGTATGTGCCCTAATCGGGGAGTGAACCTGCAAACTTTTGGTGTACAAGATGACGCTCCAACCATCCGAGCCACCTGGCTAGGGCCTTTCGATGCTATTTTAAATGAGATTTTTTTTTTTTTAATTTCTTTCTCAGATAGTTTGTTAGTATATAGAAATGTATCTGAAATCTTTATGCTGATTTTGCATCTTGCAGTTTTACTGAATTCACTGATTAGTTTTAACAGTTTTTTGTTGGAGTCATTAGGATTTTCTATATATAAGATCATGTCATCCACAAACAAAGACAGTTTTACTACTTCCTTTCGATTTGTGCGCCTTTTTCCTTTTTGTCTTCCCTGACTGCTCTGGCTAGGGCCCCCAGAACCAAGCTGAAGAGGAGTGGCGAGAGGGGCAGCCTTATCTTGGTCCTGATCTTCAGGGAACGCTTTCAGCCTCTCGCTGTTAGGTGTTTTAGCTGTGGGCTTATTCTTATTATTTTGAGGTGTGTTCCTTTCATACTCAGTTTGTTGAGAGTTTTTATGATGAAAGGGTGTTGAATTTTGTCTAGCACTTTTTCTGCATCTGTTGAGAAGATCACATAATTTTTATATTTCATTCTATGTATCAACGTGGTGTATCATTTATTCCTTTGCATGTTGAACCATCCTTGCATCTCAGGGGTGAATCCCACTTGATCATGGTGTATGACCCTTTCCCTGTGATGCTGAATTTGTTTTGCTAGTATTTTCTTGAGAACTTTTGCATCTATATTCGTCAGGAATACAGGCCTGTAGTTTTCTTTTCTTGTGTCCTTACCTTGCTTTGGTATCTGGGTAATAGTACCTGCCTCATAAAATGAATGTGGGGATATTCCCTCCTCTTCAGTATGTTGGAAGAGTGTGAGAAGGTTGGGGGGTAATTCTTCTTTAAATGTTTGTTAGGTTGTTTTTTTCTAGGTTATCCAATGTAGATCAGTTGGTTGGAGTGTTGTCCCCTACACCAAAATGTTTGGGGTTCAATTCCTGGTCAGGGCACATACCTAGGTTGCGGGTTCAGTTCCTGGTCAGGGAGTGTGTGAGAGACAACCAGTCAGTGTTTCTTATATTAATGTTTCTCTCTCTCAAATCAATAAACATATTTTCAATTTTTTTTTAAAAAGAATAGTTCCTGATTTCCAAAAGTTTATAGATATGTTGCTATTATAAAACACTTAGAGAATTACACAAAACAACACAATTAAGTCAATGAATGTTAGTGAGTGTTACAGGAGGAACTGGAGAGGAAATGACCAGGCTGGAAGGATGCAGCAGTTTCGTGGAGGCAGACCGTGCAGAACAGCTGCAAGTTACTTACATATGTATGCACATAACATGTGTATACACACATTAACACCCCCCATCTCTCCTTGTTCCCAAAAAGATCTCTGGCGGTTCACAGTGAGGAAACGGGGCAAAGGGAAACAAGGCGCGCGCGCGCGCGTGTGCTGTGACAACCTGTGGCTGGGCGAGACCTGGGCCAGACGCGGACGCTGACAGGGAAGCTGCTGGGCAGGCAGCACGGGCCGTGGTCAGTTCCCACGGCTCAGTCTCTGCGCGGCTACTGCTGCTGCTCCTATCGGAGATGTCTCTCTAACGAGCTTCCTAAGTAACGTCCTCCACAATGTCTTGAGCTGAGACAGCCACTTCTTGTTACTCCCTAAATGCAGGGGACTACTTTAAGCCATTACAGTCAAAGCCACGACAGAGCGGCCCAGGGCGCTTGGTTTTCTGTTCATCTGGCTTAATCTGGACAAGATTGAAAGGAACTGACTGTAATGAATGACTTACATATTCTGCACAGTTCTACAAATGTATTTTATCTTTATTCTGAGCTTTTGATAAGTTGAGTGGCCTTGAGTTTGAATTGTACTCCCTGACTCTTTTGAGTAGGTATGTATATCACCATCTGGTGCAAGACCATGAGCTTCAGGAAGCCAAACAGGGTTGACATCCTCTTATTCATGTTAGGGGGTCTGGGCGAAGGAGTTCAGACAACTAGGCTAGGAATGGCCCCAGGGCAGGAACATATACAGCCCCAGGTACCAACAAAGGCGTGGAGGTGGAGGGGGGGGTGCGACACCTGAGGTCAAAATAGCTGCCTGATTTCTGTGTGGCCCCAGTACTTTCTAAGGATCACCTAATGAAATGGTTAAAAGTTTAGTAGTTAGGAATGAATAATTCTCTACTCTGAAACTCACCAAAATCCGTTTTAAGGATATTTGTGTTGACTGAGAGTATCTGATCATATTCTCCAGAAATTATTTTGATAGGAAGTCACAACAAAGAGTATCAAAAGTGATCTGAGTTAATGATCTTGGGTAGACAAGGACAATAATTAGCTAACCTGAAGGCCTTTTGGCAAAATTGTATTCTTCCTGAGCGAATTAATGCGTAGCCTCTCGTCTGCGTATTCATAGGCCATTTTCCGTCTCTTCACATCACGCAACATCTTCCAGTCTACGTAGTAACCCCGAACTGGACCTGGAGTTGATGAAGGAACCATCTACAAGAGATAAGGAACAGCTGAAGGTGGTCCGAGTCAGGCTCTGCCCGTGTCCCCATCCTGCAGTCCTCTCTTAGTCACTACCTAGGACCAACTTTTTTCTTTTTCTTTTTTTAGTAATTTGGGATCATTTAATAATTTTAAGTAACAGAATCCTTCATTCAGAATAAATAACTTTTTTGGATGTACATGAAGCCAAAATGGTGGTAACTAATACAATGCCAGTAATGTGTGTTAGAAGGTGAAGTATTTTCTGAGATTTTTAATATAATTCTGTTCGATCTTTACTCAAATAGTTATATGGTTCAACATTCAAAAAAAGTATGAAAGGGCATAGAGTGGAGTCTCCCTCCCACCTAATCCCCCACCTGCTCAGTGACCACCCCCTACCTCCAAAGGTGTCCACTGTTACTAGTTCCTTCCAAAGTTTTTGTCTGTACACGTACATGTATATACTCCCTCTCCCATGTTTCATCCCTTCCCTTCCCCCTTTGTTTGCATTTAACAACACAGCTTGGAGATCTTTCCATATCCAAAAAGACCTTCCTCATCTTCCAATATTCCACTCTGTGGATGTGACAGGGTTTAGGACACACTACCTCAAAATACAGCACCGTGGCATATTATTTTAAGCAAAAGAAATTTGAAAGAGGCCTTGTGCACAGGCACTTTCTGACCTTCCCCTGAAGCCCTAAGACCCTCAAGTGAAGGGGTATGTGTGTGGGGGGAGGGGTGCAGTGAAGAGCACCCTGATCTCTGAACTGAGAACAACCTGAACAGACAGGCCTCGCTGCTCCCCCTGGCTCACACTTAGCTCACAGCCTTTGTCCTGTGACACGCTGCCACGACCTTCCACTGTGCGTCCCCTTCTCCGGGTCTGCTCCCATGTCGTGTAAAACGTAGACATTTGTGGGCTTTTCTCTTGTTCATCTGCCTTTTGTTAGGGGCCCCAGCTAAGAACTTAGAAGGGTCAGAAGTCATCAGGAAAGTTTTTTTCCTCCCCAAAGATGCACCCTAATTTATTTAACCTGTGACCTCCTGTCGGCCAGCTAGGCATGCCTCGCCATCTGTCACTACGAAAGTGCCGCAGTGAGTGACCTCCTGTTGTGAATCATTTCATGTCAGCAGGGTAAATTCTTGGAAGCAGAACTACGGGGTCACAGGGTACTCTGAAAGGATCACTGACTTAATATTTCTTAGCATGAGCTGTCTGGTAATAAGACAGTAGGCTCGTTTTTATCACATGTTTACATGGCAGTGGTCTACTGTTCTGAACAGTGGTACAGGCACAGAGTACCGGCCAGTAAAAACTCAAGTATCTCCCAAACCAGAGCAAACATGACATGTTAATTAAATTGCAGCTACAGAAAACGATGATGGCTTCCTGTAACAGCTGTTTATAGAATATACAAGGTCTGTCCAGAAAAAGTCCAGCATTATTAATGTAACAAGAACGGTTTTAGGGGGCATCTATGTAACCTGGCAGGCAAGGAGAGTGGACTGGAATGCACATGTGTGAACAATGATGACTTTACTAGTCAGTGGGTGTGGTAGATGCTGTTGAGTGAGCATGTATACTGTGTGGCTGTTGCATTTAAAATGACTGAATGAGTAGAATCTGCATCAAAGTTTGTGTTAAGCTTGAACATTCCTCCATGAAAACTGTTCAGATGACTCCGAAGGCCACAGCTCTGGGTGACTGGTGATTGGCAGCTTCATCACAACAACCTGCCCACTCGTGTGTCAGTCTCGTGCAGGGTTTTTTGGCGAAACATCAAAGCAGGTGACTCAGACCCCCTACAGCCCAGATTTGGCATCCTGCAACTTCTGGCTTTTCCAAAACTAAAATCACCTTTGAAAGGGAAGAGATTTCACACCCTTGATGAGAGATGAGATTCCGGAAAATACAACAGGGCAGCTGATGGCAACTGGGAGAACTGTGTGAGGTCTCCCAAGGTACCTACTTGGGAGAGGACTGAAGTGTCGTCCTCTGTATAATGTTTCTTGTATCTTCAATAAATGCCTCCGTATTTTTCATATTACATGGCTCGATACCTTCTGGACAGACCTTGTATGTACAGCATTATACAGAATATGCAAGTGCAAATGAGAATAGCTACTAGAAAGCCAACAGTTTTTCAACCTATTCACAGAAGATAAATTCAGTATTTTCAATGCTAAAATCTCATGGGGAAAATTGAACAATTCTATAATCACCTTTTGGAACTTAAAGCAAGCATGATCGGGATTTCAGGACTGATCTGACACATGACTAAGTCAAATGAATACTGTGGTCCCTATGGTTTGAAATATGTCATGGAAATGGGGGCTTCTTGAAGGCTTTGAAGGGCTGACAGAATTTAATTTTTTTTTTTTTAATCCTTGCTAAGGAAATTTTTTTCATTGCTTTTAAAGAGAGAGGAAGGGAGAGAGAAACATTAACTGGTTGCCTCTCATAAGTGCCCAAACTAGGGATGAAAGCTGCAGCCTTTGTTATTTGTTGATGCTCCAGCCAACTGAGCTGCCCAGGCCAGGGCTGAACTGACAGAATTTTGATACAGCTGTGGGATGGGGAAGGGGAGAGAAGGTGAAGTTTGTGCAAATCAAACAAGGAAATGAAAAAGATACATTCATTAAGACCAGGGGGGATCATTCTGGCTAAAATAATTCATATTGAGGGGCAGTGCAAGGTTTGCTTTTACTTTTCCAAGGAGACTCAGAAGACAAAATTAAACATTTTTTCCTTCAATTCTTTTTCAAATTATTCCTAATCAACTTCCTCTCTACCATTTCCTATCAGGTTCCTATTTATTTAAAACAAAAAACAAAAAACTTTCACTCTTACAACTTTTTTTCTGACTATAAAAGTAATACACTTAAAATTATACACTTTTTAAATGTATTGGTCTATATTATTCTGTGAATGTTTTATGTCCGTTGCCCACATTTCTATTATACTGTATTTTCTTACCAGTTTACAACAGTGCTTTAATTAAGACTGCCTTCTGTTCTGCCCTCCTGCCTCACTCCACTTCACCTCCTAAAACTCTTCCACTGGGCCCTCTTCAGCTAATAGTGGTCTGCCACCATCAAAATCTAAATCCTCAATTTCTCCTCTTAACTCCTTCATAGTTTTGCTCCAGCTGAATCTTGAATTTCTCCTTATAGCTTCCTCTGTAGTTCTTTTTCCTCCCATGGCTGGGGGAGAAAAATTAAAATTAGCTTCATCTTTTAAAAACTTTTTAAGTGTGCTGCGGGAACATTTTAAGGTGCATATGTGGTGCATATGTGGTGGGCATTATCTATTGGACAAGGCCACTGCAGATCAAGGGCCCGTGTTCCTAAGACGAAACAATCGCACCTGAGACCCGTTACCTCTTGCCTACACAAGGGTACAGCTCCAGTGATTTTTTTTTTTTTTTTGGCCACTAGACATGATCTTGCCCTTTACTACAAAACACGCAACTGCTTCTATCATGTTAAACACCCACACAAACTACCCACTCTTAAGTCATCATTCCTCCAGCTATTGAACCATCTTCTGCCCCACTTTGCAGCGAAGGTCTTCACACGCTTGTTCCCCCTCCACCGCCCCCCGCCCCGCCCCGTGTCCGATTTCTTTTTTCTCCTCTCTTGAACGCTTCGCCCAACAACCTCCACCACGCTAAGCCAAGGGCCGGTTCTCGGCCCTCCTTTAACGGACCGGTCAACCATGAGCCGAGTTCACTCCCGGCCCCTTTAAACTCAGCGCCCGCTTCCAGGCCAGACACTCCTGGCTTTCCTCTTCCCTCGCTGAGCTTCCTTGGTCTCCTTTGCTCGACTCCCATCTCTTAACGTGGGAGTCCCCGGAGCCGATCCTCGGGCCCCTTCTTTTCTGCACCTACACCCATTTCCTTATAAATCAGAATCAATTATAAGGGTACGGATACCAAATATACACCAGCAGCTCGGGCCTCCCCTGCATCAAGCCGGGGGAGGGAGAACCCCTTGGGGCGGGTCCGCACTGGGCTCCACAGGTGGCAGAGTAGTGGGGGGACTGCAAGTCTGGGGGTTCATAAGGGGAGGGGAGGAGTGGGTGTTAGGGCGCGGGCCTGACCTGCCGGACGCTCCGCAGCAGCGAGCCCAACATGGAGGCCGCCATGTTGTCCGCCGCAAAGTCAAACAGCTGCAACTTTATTGACACTGCCGGACGCAGAGAGGCTCGAGGGGCGGGGTGGGGCGGGGCTTCAGCCTACCGGAAGGAGGGGTTGGTTAGCAGGCAGGCGTTCTCGGGGTAGGTAACGGAACTCAGGCAGATCGCAAAGCTGGGAACGCCGCTTTGATACTGACGGGCAGTCTGGCGCTCCTCGCTCGCGGCCGCCCTTCCTCCGGCTTTCCCTGCCCGCGAAGGCTACCTTCGTCCCTTTCCTTCCCACGCCCTTCCCTTCCGCCTCGTCCCCCAATCCGTTCTTCGTCGCCGAGGTCTCTTCCCTAAGCCCTCCGTTTCCCTCAACCTGCTCCTCCTCATAGGTCCTCCGTGCACTTAGGGGGCTGCTTGTCAAACACCAACGATTACTGTCAGCCCTCTCTCCGTCATCCCGCTGTAGATGTTGCAAACCTCCTTTCCACCCTAATGGTGATAATGATCAGGTTGATGATGGCGATGATACAGTTCCCATTTATGTCTACATATACACACACATGCATTTTCTGTATTGGAAGGGGAGCGTTGCCGTTTAAAAGGGGCTGGTTTCAGTCCGTAGTACAGGGAACTTTCAGGTCATCTTCGTTTTTAAGTGTCCAGTTCAGTGGCATGAAGTGGCATTATTGCTGTACCACTGCAGCCCCCGCCCACCTCCAGACCTGTTTACCTTCCCACACCGCTGCGCAAGGACTTCCCACTCCCCTGCACCCCTGGCCCCTGGCCCCACCGCTCTGCTGTGGTCTCTGTGACTTGGACTCCTGTGTAGCTTGTGTAAGGGAAGTCATACCCTTGTCCTTTGGTGACTGGCTTCTTTCACTGACCGTGTCCTCGGGATTCATCCATGTGGTAGCGTGTGTTGGTGCTTCCCTCCTCCTTATGGCTGAATAATAAATACTCCATTGTATGGACATAGCTCATTTTGTTTATCCATTGATCTGTAGATGGACACTGGCTTTGCTTCTACCTTTTGACTATTGTGAATAATGCTGCTATGAACATGTGTGTACAGCATCTTAAACAGCATTAATATCTTATTAGGCTGCTTTTCACTGTAAGAGAAGAGATTAAAGCAAGTTAATGGTAGGTAAGATAGGAGCTCAGAGACAGTGTGATGAGATTCCAGGTCTTTTTTAGTTAGTTGTGTTGGTTTTGTGACACAGCCTGAGATCTTTTCCCCCAGTGCACCCTCTTCCATCAGTGCGTGGCAAGCTTGGCGGAGCCAGAAGAGGGCTCGCTTTACCCTGAGTCCTCCCAAGGAATCTACAGCTCACCCGGCCTTTTGACAGAATGTGGGTGAAGCTGCTGGGCTCGCTGGCCTGGAATTCCAGGATCAAGAGGACCATCATTATACATTCATTCAATCAACAAATTCATTTTAAGTGCCTGTTGTGTACCACTGTGTGTGTGTGTGTGTGTGTGTGTGTGTGTGAGAGAGAGAGAGAGAGAGAGAGAGAGAGATGTGGAGTGACAGAAGGAAGAATCCCCGCCCTTGTGATGCTTCCGTTCCGTCGGCAGTTACAGCGTTAGACAGAGGTGGAGATGCCCGCCATTGCTGGTCATGCGGCCTTTCTCTGTGCATATTGTCTTAGCTGTAGGGGCTGAAAAGGTATTTTTGGGTGAACAGAGTAAAATTTAAGAGTTAAATGTTTTGATATTTGATTGTGAGAGACTGTCCTATCACCATGTTGATTCTAGGCCTCATAAGAAAAAAAAACCCGATTGTACAGATGGTGAAATCAAGGCACCAAGAGGTTGGGTGACTTGCTGGACTCGCAGAGCTTGCCCTACGCCACGGCCGCTTCTGCGCATCCCCGCTCCGCACTGTCCTCCGTGGGCAGAAACAACGGCTCAAGGACGAAGGCCCCCCTGCCATGGGTCCTTACAGGACCGATGAGCTGGTTAATGTGTGGATTTTGTTTCAATTCAATCAATACCCTAATGAAATTTTTCTTAACACAAGTAATTTAAAAATATGTATAAAAGAATAAGTGAGATGGAAGGGAGGTAGAAAGCTATGAAATTTTTGAAAAAGAAAAATAACAATATTTCTGCCCCACCAGTTATTAAAAGGCCATATATTATTAAGCCTGTCTGAACTGGTCTGGTCCTGGTGCCAAAATCAACAGACAGGTAAATGAGCTAGAATCGATGTGCCAGAAAAAAACCTTCAATACAATTATAATTTGGTTATTTATTAAAGGAAGCAGAAAAAATATTGCAGAAGTGGTATTGGAACAACTGTTTAAAGATTTGGGGAAAATGTTTTGATTATATTTTTACCTTTTACCATTTACCATTTATCAAAATAAATTTTAGATAAATGAAAGAGGTCAATGCTAACAAAGTCTTACAAAGAAGAAAATATAGATGAATATAGTTTTAAACTTAAGAGCCACGCAGTAGCCTATGTGCCCGCTGCAGGCCTGTCCTTGGGGTCCTTGTCCTGCCCAGGCTGACTCCGGACCGACCACCCTCCCCGCGTGGGCCCTGCAGTGCCCCCTAGCGGGGGTCCTCCCGCCCAGTCTCCACGGCCGGGCCTCCCGCGGAGGAAGAGCGGAGAAAGCACCGGACTTGTGGGGCTCTTCGTGGTCCACGCATGGGGTCGGCTGTGAGAGGCACTGCAACAGGAGGAAGATGGAAGTGAAAGGAAAGAAAGTGTACTGATAGAAAAGCATGGACACACGCAAGCGTTTCAGCCGTGGCTCTGAAACGGTGCATATGGACAGTCTGCCTTCCTTAAACACTGCCAGCTGAACAGTAGCCCTCGGGTGTACGGCTCGGTCCTGGAGGGTGGGTGGTCTTCTCCTACTTGAGGTAGCAGCCCCGATGCTCCACCTGGGAGTCTCCTCCTGGAGCTCTGTGCTGTGCACGAGTTGGACACAAGGTGGCAGTAATAGCACACCTGAGCTCCAAGCCCACCTCCCGCCTAGACCTGTTCCCACGCACAGGGCCTAATGCAAACTGGAAACATACGTGCGCACACACCCCCGTCCTCCAAATAAGTTGATGGCACGTTGACGCGTTGCCTAACATCAGGTGTCTGAGTTTGCCTCCTTTGCAGGAGTCCTAGGCAAGACAGGCGACACAACTTGTAGGGCCCAGTGCAGGATGAGAATTTAGGACCCCCTTCTTAAACAGCAGGCCAAGTTGCTGTTAAAAATAGTAGAATATAGAGCTGAGCTGAGACCCCGTAAGACAATACCTTGGGCTGATCTCAGGCACCTCTCCCTTCTTGCCTGGGGACTCCTCCAAAGTGACATGGGCAGCTGAGGAGCCAGGGGCCTGCTGGGCACTCACACACGCATGGCTGCCTCGTGCGGGGCCGTGGGCGCCCGCAGGGACACCCTGAACCAGCGGGGGACAGGATGGCTCCTCGAAGGTCTCCCAGAGGTGGCATCACTCCTCGAGTGGGGCATCCTCCATCGCTTTGTCCCCGGCTCTTGCTCCGCTGCCCTGATCCCTCTCCTGCTCCCTGGGAACCTACTTGCACATCAGCCTCTGTCTTGGATTCTGCTTTGCGGCTGTTGGGCTTGTGGAGGAACTCAGGCTGAGACACGAAGGTCCCGGCCACAGGCCATCCAAGTGGCACGGTTGAGCCTGCTCCTAACGGCCTCTCTAGCTTTCCCACTCCTCCTCTTGCTCCCCCAGGTCAGGACCTCTTTGTCTTTTGGGTTCCTGTCGCTCTTTTTGCATCCACTTTTTTATAACTTAACCCATCGCATTCCCCCAAAACATATCCACCCTGTTCTGCTGCCAGAGTGAACTTTATGAAACATGACGACTACCCACTTTGGGTAGCTCCCCACTGCCTACAAAATAAAGACCAAAAATGCAGCACCATTTCCCATCCCCCCAGGCCCTTCCTGCCCACCGGATTGCCCATCTTCCAAGGGTCCCCCCCCCCCCCCCCCGGTCCTTCTGCCTTTGCTTCAGACAACCTTCCTGCTCAGTTCGGTCTGGCTCGTCAAATGCTTAACTGAACACCAGGCACATGGGAACTTCTGCCATCCGAGGGGGGAGGGACAGATGGGCAGGCGAGGAGACGCTACAAATGACGGCGGCTAGTGGTGCTCGCGCCACCAGAATCCCATGGAAATCAGGGCCTTTGGCTCGTCCACCCCAGGTGAGGGGCCCGAAAATAATTTCTCAGCAGGCTAAACTATGGTGGGGTTTTGGTAAGGAGGTAGGAAAATTTGCTTTTGCAGAGTCTTGTGGAATACTAAGGTTCTGAGTGGGAGAAGTATATGAAAAGCCTTTTTATCTGTACGTTAACCCTAAAGACTGATGTCTAAACAAAGGTAATATAATTGGTATTTTGCACATGTTAAATTAGTAGTAGTGGGTATATTACTCAAAACAACAAGGCCACGTTTTCTTCCCAGCAGTTTCAAGGAGATGCTTGGATATTTGTTTTGATTTGTTGCAGACACTAGGCATGCAAAGAGGTTTTTATTTTGAGTCTCATTTTCCATCCACGTGTTCAGTATCCTCCTGACCTGAGGGCTTGGGAAAGCTGATTTCCCACCCTCTCACTCTGGTGCAGGGCCCTGGGCGCAGTGAGGCGTCGCTCATGCACTGTTCTTTCCAGTCCAGTCTCCGTGGACACAACCTGCTGGCTTAGCGTTTTATAAAAGAGTGCCTGCCTGTCCCTCCCTCCCCAGGCCCAGCGAAGGCCGTTCCCATGCTGCTGGGGTCACTAGAGGTTCTGTCCTTCCCAGAGGAGAGGTGCCAGAGTTGCCCCAAGAGGACGAGCGGGGAGTGAGGGGCTCTCCCTAAAACACAGTCATAAAGGACACGTCTTGTCCCCTTGGTGAGAAAGTGAAGTCTGTGGGGGCAGAGAGGAGGCGTGGCCTCTCTGCTTTTAGGACCAAGCCTGTTGCCCTGCACGGAGCCAGACCCAACAAGTCCCAGCTCATGACGACAGGGCTTGCTCCTGTGGCTGAAACCCAAGCAGCTGCGGTTGCTCCGCCATCCCCGGGAAGCCCAG